CTATCTATCTATCTATCTATCTATCTATCTATCTATCTATCTATCTAGAATGCAGGGGGAAATAGGAAGTTATTGCTGCATTCTTGACGACTAATGATTTAACTCAAGGAAAGAAATTTGTTGAAAATCCGTTATTAGGATGTACCTGCTGCCATCAAGGCTGCCGTGAATGTGCCCCGATAGCATGTCACAGTTGATGCTCGGCTGTTTTATCTGATGCCTCCAGAGGCCAAAAGGCTTTTATCTCCCCGAGCCATGACTCCCAGTGGACCCGAGGAACCGCCAAGCCCCCCACCCTGCCCACAGGAGAACACCTTCATTGTTTATTATTTCTTTTCTTTTTTTCTTTTAGGTTTTATCTATTTAATCTTTAACATCGGGATATATTTCTTTTTCAGTAAGAGAGTTTGAACTCTTACATAATGCAAGAAAAAAAAGAAAAAAAAAACATCAGCGATTGGACTTCACCTTAATCGCTCATCTTATTGATTGATAAATTGGCTCAGAAAGGATTACAATTTTTTTTTAGAGAATATAAATTGGCCGGAGGCTTAACCTGCGCTTTTGTTTCCCTCATAAAAAAGAATTAGAATACCTCAACTAAAGCTCGGGCTACAGTACATTCTGCTACCTCACGTTGTTACAGGCCGTTGCGCTGCGTCTGTTTGCTTTTTTTAATGCCTTGCCCTCCACAAGACTATATAGCCCACGACAGCCAAATAATAATGAATCATTTCATAAATAATGGGTTTAGGGGCTTATCGGGAATGAAGAGGCCGCTGCCGTGCGCTTATCTCACTCGGCCACATTGCGGCCTGTGTTCCGCTCCCCATGCAGAGGGAGCGCAGTGGATGCGGCGAGGAATAACTCAGCTCCACGCACACACACACGCGCATACTTACACACACACACACTGCTCCACAACTGACAGGAAAAAAAAGAGAAAAACCTCAGACATGGATGACCCACTCACAAAATGGCTCCACTTACACAGTAACATCAACAACACGGCTGGAACGGTAAGTGTGCGAAAATACCTCTCCGTATTTAAACCATCGAGTTTGGTGCTCCATAGGCTGTCATCAGAACGCCGCCGGACAGGTTTAGTTGGTATTTTTTTGTACGCTTTTGTTGTTTTTGTCTTTATTTTCTGTTATTGTGCGATCGGTAAAGACTAAGGAATAACGGATGCGAGGCCTGTGAGAGAATTCCAAGAAATAGAAGAACGTTTTTCATCGGCGCTCCGCTGTTTGTTTAAAAACAACATTCCGCGGAATTTTAACGAATATTTTCACTGAAATACCGGAGGCTGGTTTGTACTATCCACAAAATGTCAAACCCCGAATGCTTGGCCGTGGCAACATCAGCATTTCTGGCCTTCAGGCTACCTGCTGACTAATTAGCGGATACTATTATTCCTAAAAACATCAGGTCTGAATGCTGTTGAGGTTATTCCCGATATTCCAAAGAGAGAGGAAATATGAGTGTTTTTATTTCGACGCAATGTGGCTTTCCGGATAGACCTGCTGCCCACATTTTCAATGCATGGCGTTAATCTCTCCTAGAAATAAACACAAAAAAGTAGTTTAAACTCTGCCCTTAATTGGACTGAATGCTGAAAACAACATTCGAGCAAGACCTTTATCATAACAAAACAAGACGGGGGGAATTACATCAGAAAAACACAAAACTTATTGTTCCGTTTTAAAATGGCTATTGCAATTGATTTATTGAATATTGTAAAAAAAAAAAAAAAGTGGATTATAATGAGCCCTTGTGCCACACGTGTACAAATAGACCTAAATGTATTGTGTAACTTTAAAACAGAATTCCTAGTAACTAAACTGTAGCTAAACTGTATTTAAAATGTATACTAATGAGCTGTAAACAAGTGTCCACCTGTCACGTGGAAAGCGTGCGACCTTTTTTGAGAATCTAACAAGCGAACTATATTTTTAATACAGAAGAAGAAAACGAAATAACAGAGACGAATGCAGCCAGTATTTGTGGACGGATTGTCAGCTTCATATTTGCATGTGTCTAATGCTAAACAATTTTATGTGGAAAATCGTGAAAAGTTTTTTTCTTTTAAAGAGTAAATAAAAACGATCCTTGTGATAAGTAAATGGAACAAATATTGGTTCCTTTTTTGTATTTTGGGCGAATATAAAATACGCGGACAGCAAATGGCTGGTTATACTCTGTCGTTTTCCCAAATGATGAATTAATCGAGGAAAATCTTATTTAGGATACAGTGGGACTGTAACGAGTTTGAAAATGATGGAAAAACGGCAGCAGGAGCTCTGTGTTGGAAGTCCCGAAGCGGGGTCCGGTCCTAGAAAGCGGGAGGACTCCGCCATCATCTCCAGACAGAACGGATACAAGGAGGAAGAAGAGCCGCGGAGAGAGGAGGGGGTGGAACACGAGGAGGAGGATGAAGAGGAGGAGGAGGAGAGGGGTGGGAACTTTAAAGGGGTTGAGGAGACGGATGACGTTCCTCTGCAGAACTCGAGCAACGGGACCAGCATCAGCATCATCATCAACGGCGTTGCCAAGGAAACTGCCTCTTACAACGCCCTTGACCTGAAAAGGGAAGTGCCGGTGATCGAGCTCTCCAGGAGGGACGCTATAAAAGCGCTAGAGCAGAGGACTGAAAGCCATTTGGTGCCGATCACGGAACTTCGCAGACCTCCACCGCTGCCGCTGCCTCCGCCGCAACGAGACGACGCTCGAATGGTCCAACTGAGCCCAAACGCGTTTCCTGTCCCGGCCCGGGCGATGCTCTACAACTTGTCGCAGCCTCTTGCCGCCATCAACAGGTAAAGGTGCATTTAGATTTCAAGAAAAGAATGACCTATGCCTGTTTTTTTTTTAATCTTAACTCTGAGTTTCCAGCACAAAAAGTTACAGATGTCTCAAAGGGGTTATTTGAAACCCCATCAAGTTCAACAGTATTAAATAAAAAGATGTTTGTGATGTTCACATTTTATATTTGTGTTTTTATGATTTAAAATCTGTTGTTCCATCAGACGCACACCTATTATATGCATTTGTCTTACAGTATTGCAAAAATAGGTTAGAAGCCGGGCATAAATATGAATCAGGCTTTGTGTACCTGTGTATTTTTTGTCTCCTTTCTTTCGCTTTAGTCTCGGAGGGGAGTCGGAGCAGTACAGCATGTACCCCAGCAACAGGGTAAAGCGCCGCCCGGCGCCTTATGAGGTTGAACTCGACGAGGGTAGGCGCATTTTAGATCTTTATAAGTATGGTAAGATGCACTTCTGCTGTGTCCTCCTTCTGCCAACACAGTCCCTAACTGTCCCTTCCTCATCTCCACTGTCATTCATCCACTGACATGGATCAATACTAGAGCAAATCAGAGTGTTGCAGAAGATGCCTTGCACAAAAAGGAAGTCCAAAAATAAAACTTTAACCACCGAGGGATGACGAGATGGCAATTCGTGGCACACAAATGCCTCTAAATGTACCTGAAACCACAGAAATATGACGTTCTTGTGCAGATGTAGGGTTTATTTAATTTGGGACACCTTTTCCACCACTGCCCACTTCCTGCCATATAGGGGAGGAGGATGGGGGGGTGCTGTTGCCTCAATGCCAAGGTTTTACTGCAGAGTGGGCTGAGGGATTAAGATACACTGGGTGGGTTCCAAGGGCAACAATAGCCCAGAAGACACCAAACTGTTGGGGGTAGGGGGATGACTACCTGCACTGAAGCGTTTTATTATGCCTAGAAAAATAAAAAGCCCACATAATGCTGAATGAAATGAACACAGTCTCCTTGACATGCTTTTGTGGGGTTAAGCAAGCAAAAACAGCCACTTCCTTGTCTATTTGAATAGTCCATGTCACATTTCAGCTCCATTATCTGAAAAATCCATGGCTGTGCAGAGGACAGTTTTGTAACTTACCACTAAAGGTTAATGAAACGAATATTGTTTGGTGCAAAACCCTTTTTTTTTTTGCCAAACGGCCGTGCATCTGTTTTAATGTTGCAAATTTCTTAGCTCTTAATTTTACTGTTGAATTTCTTTTCTATTATGCAAAACACATTTGCTGTTTCAGGTCTGCATTACATGTTTTATTTGTATCAGTACAATGCCCCCTTACCCTCTCCATATTGGTCCTTTTTTGACATTCTTTTTTCCTCTGCTATAGCTGGCCAGCCGAAGATTGTGCGTCGCATCTTCACAAACAGCCGTGAACGCTGGCGGCAGCAGAATGTAAACGGTGCATTTGCAGAGCTTCGTAAACTCATCCCCACTCACCCTCCAGACAAGAAGCTGAGCAAAAATGAGATCTTGCGGCTGGCTATGAAGTATATCAGCTTCCTTTCCAACCTTCTGGAGGATCAAGATGGTGGAAGGAACGGTGCCAACACCACCGATGGGGACACTGGACTGCTGGTCGGGGTTGGGACACATGAAGGGGGCCCTCAGGGAGTTCCACACCAGGAGACTGTAGTAGCGTTGACGAGAGATGATCTTCTGGAGACAATGTCACCGGGCTCCAGCTGTGGAAGCTTACCCGACGGTGACGCTGAAGGGAGTCCTGAGAGCTTCATGGAGGACCAGGACTCGCCTCCAGCTCCCAGGACTCTAACGGCCTCACGAGGGCCCCCACTGCATGTCGCTTCTAGGGATCTGAGACGCAATGGACGGCCATTAGATGGTTCCAGTCGGCGATGATGCTGGAGACGCAGCAAACCACAAACACAAAACCTAAGACTGACAAGCAGCAAGGAGGGGGACTGAAAAAGAGATTGATATACTTAGAAAACATGGTTATCTTTGAGTTGTAGGAAGCAGAGTTAGGCCACATATAGTGAGAGAATGGTGGAAAATAGCATCACGAGCCCATTCCTGTCTCCACATTGCACCAGAGACAGTACCAATGAGTAGTGTGGTTAGATTTGATCCATCAAAGACTTGTAAATTCTGCATGTCGAATGTCCTTGACAGACCTGCAGATAATGACTGTGTTTTGAGAGCTCAGATTATTATCAATTACAAAATTTAAAAAAAAACAAAGAAAGAATGAACAATCAAAACTACAATAATTATTTGAAAAATTCTGTTAGAAAATGTGTTGATCTCATATTGTGGATCAATGTCACCATTTTGATAACGAAATAGCGCCGTCAGATTAGATCCAGTTTACTACACAAATTACTATGAAATGCCAAAAAGCAGTTTTTCAGAACAAATTGATATCTTAGAAAAACAGGAAAAAATGGTTTGCTAGTTCCATATCTACTGTACATAAGATTAAATTTCAACTTCATAATGTTACAACAGTGACTCAGATTCAAGTGTGGTTTAAAATGTACCATAGTGTGTTTGTCAGTGGGTTTACTAGCAAAACAGTCTTTTTGAAGACAGAAAATGAGGAGAAGACATTTGATAAACTCTAGGTGGAAAGAAAACAATTGAACAAAAAGTACATAAGATGTGGTACCATTTACTTCTGTTACACTTTGGTGATTAGAAAATGACACCAAATATTACAGCAGGCAGTCTGACAATTCTGCTGTCTGGAATAAATGAATATATCTATTTGGATTTTTTTTTTTGTGGAGGTACAAAACAAACAGTGCTCTTAAAGTGTACAAAACATGGGTCAAATCAAATCTTGGAATGACTTGTGCAGTCCTTTTGATATGAATGTTTCCGTGTTTTTTAATTTTATTTTTTAAGAAGACTGTAATGCAGATGTAGTTTAGTATGGTACACAAATTAATCTCTTCTATGCCATATGTCACATGTACATAAAAAAACACCATCATCACCTCCATCGCCACCAAACAGTGTTAATATCATAATCACACCAGCAGTTTTCTGACAGACAGTATTGTTCACTGTCGTTGGTTATTCTGCTTTTTCTGCAGGACCTAGTAGCCTATATTGGTACCTTTGGTAACTATGGTATTTTATGAATTGCAGTAAAAGAACATTGTACGTTTGGTAATGACATATTTGTTGTATGATAGCTGTACCTATAAATATATCCAATGTTAAATTGCTGACTTTTATACAAAACCCCTGAATAAAACATGCAGAGGAAAAGTCTTGTTTACTTAATATTTTTTACATAAATATCTGCCTTCAGGAAGTTTTGGGTTGGGTTGATTTAATACAAATTCAATCCAATTCAGCACATTTCAGTTGAGTTTGACTAAATTGAATTAAGTTGAATTAAATTAAATTCAGAACAAGGGTGCCTGAACATGGATTGTTTCTCCCAGGTTTATACAACCTCATCTGCAGATGGCATGTAATTCAAACCTCAACCTCCTCAGATAAACTCCTCCAGTGGACGCTGGAATCCTGACTTCCTCCCCAACAAGTGACAACTTCCTGTGCAGGTTAACATTACTCACTGACCCACAGGATATCCTGCCATTGTGAAAGTGGTTTTGACAGCCTCCACTGCACTCGCTTACCCGCTGTTGTGTCTGTGCATGCCTTGTGAAACGGCTTTACAGATCCAGACTCCACCACCCATAAATTCTTCAGTTATGCAATGGAAAAGTTAAAGTGTGTTCACCAACCTCTGTTCCTGAATAAAATAATGGCATACAAATTGTAGCACAAACTGCATTTTCTGAAGTCCGCTTCCCGATTTTCTTTAACTTCATACAGCGGGCTGTGCCACCATTTCTGACCGCAACACACTCAGTACTTAGACAGTTCTAAAGGCTATAATTGCTTCCGGAGAGCATCAGAGACATCCAGGTGTTTGGAGACCTCTCTCTGCGCTGGGCTCTGGCAGTGCTGCAGCTCCACTGAGGGGCTCTCTTGGTTAATGCCTGCCAAACATTTACCTGCTTCAGTGTTCCTGACTCTCAAAAAAAGACGCAGACTCACAAAAGAGAAGGATACAAGGAGCATATGAGGGATTGAAAGCCAGGGAGTGAGAGGATGTGCATGTGAGAGCGTACATGCTTGTGAGACCAGGCTTGTGGGTGTGTGTGTGTGTGCATTTCATGGATCTGTGTGTGTGTTAGCTTGGCTGTATGTGTGTGTGTTTATCAGCTCAGTGCAGATGGGTGGCAGAGTGGCTCTTGCAGCCAAATGATTCAGTATGCTAATGAGTTGTTATCTGTGGTGCTGCAGGAACAATATACTGTCTTTCTCACAGTGGGAATCCAGCCTGTTGGGAACAGATTACATTGCACACACCGCCAAGGTAGTTATTTATATTTTCTCATAGAGTAGTTGAAAATACATAAATGTACAAATACACTTGTGCACATACGCACATATACACAGATAGGTCTATAAACAAACAGGAAAAGTAACATTTTAGCATGCACACACATACACCAACACCTCAGACAGAATCAAAAGTAAGGTGGGGATTTGACAGAAATTGTGCATCCTTCAGCAGATGGAGAATGTCATTCTGGGCTTTCCTCTTCAGCAGGTATAATTATTGTGTTTCCATCCTTTTCACGAAATGATGCAAAGTCTATAGCTTTAATTAAAGTTAACTTGAATCACATCCAAATGCAAATTTATTTATTTTCCATCTCATGAGATTTGCTTAAGGATGGGCCTTGGGATCAGAACCAAAAGTATTAGATAAGTCCGACAAAAAAAAGGACTGTGTCAAAAGTAATCACTTTAAACCTCTATTAAATTCCAAAATACGACCCCCTTTGAAAATTGCATGCCTTGCATAAAATGGAATTACATCAAAATAATTGTATGACTTACCTCTGCTCATTTGACTTTTTTCTCTTCTTCCCAAAAGCGGGTGCTTAATAGTTTCAGTTTGATAGAAATAAGAAATATTGTCGGCTTCCTATTGTTTCATAGACACGATATGATTTCGTTAGATACAACATCATTTTTTATCTCAGTTAATTTTGCTCCAGTCATATGTTGTGCTCTGCATTGTTCAATCTGTTGTAAACATAAGAAAAATAATGGAAATAACCAGTGAAAATGTGTTTGGAAAAGAAAATGGCTATGCAGATTTGTATAAATTTACTCATGTACACATTCCCTTCAGTGTTCTGTATATTGTTTTTAGAAATGAAAATATAATCATCACAAATATTATGTTATTGACTCATATAATTATTAAAGAACATTGCAAACAAAAAACTATTTAAAACAGCCAAAACCCAAGGATACAGGTAATTTAAACTAATTGATAATAAAATATTGTTACTGATTTCTAAAACAGTCCTCAATCAAAGGTATACAACATTTTTTAAAGGAAGTTAATTTTATTTAAAAATGGAAGGGAAACAACTGTAAAAACTACTGATTAAACGTGATAGATATTTAATCATGCATTAACCATGCAAGTATTTTTTATTATGAGGTTTATCTCCCTTCAGATTCATCACTCCATCTAAACTGGGAAATATATTTAGTGAAAAAACATTTCTGTTGGAGGACTTCACCAGATGGGCAAAGAAATACTTGTCTTTCTTTTTGAAAAATTGTTCCAGAAGTGCAAATTCAATGAATACATTACAGCACTGGGATGAAACTGCTTAGACAAGGCGATGCAGTCCCCCTGCTTACAAGATAAAACAAATATGTCATGACATGAAAATGTTCCAGAGCCTGTGAGAAGGGCAGATAATTCATGCATTTTTTCCGAAAGGATTTATGATTTGTTGGGAAAAACTGATTATTATCAGTTGTAATCTGTTTGTAAATCATTGACAGTTTAGAGTTTAATGAAATATAGCATTTATGAAAGCAAATAATGGTTTTCATCGTGCAAAGTGGAGACACTAAAGAGTAATTCATGGAACAGCTTGCTCTGCAACTGAGGTTTATCCTCGCTCTTTAAGACAAGAGCAGCTAATCTGTCATTATGGTATGCACGTTCAATTATGTTTCACTTGTGTCATCTTTATTTTAAAGAACACATTGTTTTTCTGGGTTCTTTGAATTCTAATGACCTACTATGTGCTTTTACAGTTTGCTAATGAAGCAGCATTTATTTTGCCTCTAAACTAGAATCAATCACAGGCCCATTAATTCACAGCTTTTACATACGATAATCTTCAAATTCATTTTCACATAAGAGAGATGTAGTTGCCACATAAAACATAGTCTGTGGTATTTGCTGTGTTGTGATAACTGCCGCTAATCCTCTGTTGATTTAAGGGACCATTAAAGGATGCAGTTCTGCACATGTGTTGTGCAGCTGTTTTGATCTAGAATGTTATCTATTTAGTGAAATATAAATAGACTTGTAATGTTTATTTTTCCTGGCTTTGGACAAATAGCTCTTTTTCTTCTTCCAACCCAATATGAAGGCATTGTCCTTGTTTCCAGTATGTGTTGAAAATTAATTACATTGCGCCCTCTAGTGGAGATCACGTATTACATCCACCTCCATTGTCTTCCCATCTTGTTCAACAGCAAAGCGATCTTCTTAATCAAGTTTATCCTTTCCCAAGTGATAAAAGCGATTTAAACGACTCGACTTCGAAAATAACTCAAATTTTGAATGAATAAAATTGGAGTTCATTGATGACAACAGTAGGGATTTTATTGCAGTTTGATGAAGAACAGAATAGTTGCTGACAAAAGTAAAGTCATGTCTCTTCCATTACCAAACACAGAGAGGCAAGCCAAGCATTTGGTTTGAATAACACAACTGCAGCAAAAGGCTTCTAAGCAGTAAATCACATTAAATTGAAAAAGCAGAGATAAAGATTGAAGTTTCGAATAAGAGACGGCTGAATGCCAGATGTTGCAGTTACATGTTTTCCAGAGCATTTGCTTTGTTTTCTGGGTAAAGCAGGAAACCGGAGAAAGTGCTGTCATCCTCACTGCTGGAGTAAACTCCATTCCAGTCTCTTATAGTCTCCAGCCACACTTGGTCACCCTCGCTCACTTGGAGCAGTACGAGGTTGGAGGCCTGATCGATGTCCTGTCCGTACAGGGAGTCTCGCGTCCGCAGCTTTCGTATCCCGTTAACAACCAGGGCGGTGCGCACGGGCCGGCTGCGAACGGTGATGTGATACGTGAACAAGTAGACTCCGGAGCATGTCACGTTGAACTTGTGCAGTACTGGGTCCCAGTGCCCCTCCCCGTTGTAAAACACCTTATCGAACTTCACAGGTAGACCGGGTGGTGGGAACGACCGACTGGGGAACAAACCCACGCTGAAAGCCGAGCGAACCTGCTCCACGCTCTCACCCGGTTGACCTTTTAGACCACGGGGCCCACGCCCACCTTTAGGTCCCCTCTCCCCTCTCAACCCTGCCATGCCCCTTGGGCCTGAAAGCCCTCTCGTTCCAGTATCTCCCTTTACACCTGGCGGCCCTCTTTCTCCTTTTGCGCCATTAGTTCCGTTTGTTCCCGGAGGCCCCATCTCACCTTTTGGGCCTGGGGGCCCATGCTCACCCATATCACCTTTCTCTCCTTTTTCACCGACTAAACACTCAGCGGTAAGTCCTTGTTCACCTTTCTGACCCTTTACCCCAGCTATCCCGGGTGGACCCATGGGCCCGATGCTGCCTTTAGTCCCATTCAGGCCAGGATCCCCTCTTTCTCCAGGGTCCCCTTTCATCCCAGTGAAGCCACGCTCACCTTTCTCTCCTCTGGGGCCTGGATTACCTGCGATACAGAGGTAAATTGTAGCAGTTAAAAAGAAAATTAAGAAGAAGTCCACTTTCATGTTAGTTTACCAGATTAGCATTGCATGATTTTAGTCTGAATTTCAACATGTCAGTGACAGACAGTTCAACTGAAGTTCTATTAAAATTGTATAACCTTTGTCCCCAGGCTTCCCGGTGATCCCTGGTGGACCAGGAATACCCACCGGCCCTTGATCACCTTTTTCCCCTGGAGCAGTTTTGGCCCACATAAAAAGGTTGAGAATGAGATCCAAGAATTAGCTACAGAGGAGCAAATAGACATGCAAGAAGATTTCTTCTGTTGAGCCCTGCTGCTGTACCTGTGTCTCCATTGAGTCCATTGGCACCGGCCAATCCTGCCGGTCCTGGAAATCCTCTGGGCCCTATTTCTCCTTTCACTCCTGGCAAGCCTGGGGAACACAGCAGAGTTAGCATTAGGAAAGAAACTTTGAACATTATTAAATGAGAAATACTAGTTCACCTTACCAGGAAGGCCCCTTTGCCCAGGTGGTCCTGGTGGTCCTGTGTCTCCCATGGGCCCCACAGGGCCTTTTGCCGGTGGACAACATTCACAAAAGTTGAAGAAGCATTCGTTGTAGTCGAGGGTGTAGTTTCCATTGGTGTTCCCAGGAGGGGCTATGGCATCGATGGGAAACTCAGTTGGGTAAGTGTCGCCGTGGTAGGTACTGCTGTCTGTTGAAGGAATGGTGTACACGTCCACGGTGAACTCAGTAGTCTCTTCTGTGTGAAGGCTGATGGCAGGGGCTGGTGTTGTGGTGGTGGCCCGTCCAAATCCGCCGCCCAAACTACCCCCGGCTCGAGGTGGTTTGTTGGGGCTCTGCAATTTGGGCAAGCCCGTGGTCCTGGCATCAGACGTCAGCACAAAGACAGTGGTCAGCATGAAGAGTTGAGCGGATGGCATACCGAAGGCCTGTTGAACAATCTGATGGAGATAAGAAAGATAAAGAAAATAATAGCTGCAGCATTTTGCCTTTTTCTTTAGCGACATAGCAGGTTCAGAATCTGTACACAGGCGATAAATATGTGTTACCTCCTGATGTAGATGGTACGGATTCTTCATTCCATCCCATCAAAGTAGAGCGTAGTGCTGCACTTTTAAGCCATTGACAGAACAAAGAAGGGGAAAACACAGGGGGTTGTCAAAAGGTAGGTGGGCTGGCAAGAACAGATTACATGACTCCTCAGGGATACCGAATACGAGGATTGTATACAATGCAAGACTTTCTTCTTTGTGAGATGGGGTATCAAAACAAAGTCCAAAAGAGTGTACAGACTCACACAAATTGGAATTCACAAAAATACATACTTTGAACACAAACAGAGGAGCAAAAAAGTTACAAGAGCAGATACAGTTGCTCCGCATGTGGAGAAACACATCATCATCCCCCAAAAAACTCAAATTGTTGGTGATATATCACATTAAATACGAAGAGTTCCAAGTGCTGACGTCAACGATCACACAATCTGGCTGCACCTCAAAGCAGAAAGATGGATCACTGTACACCCAGTGGGAGAAGGATCAATGTCCTGTAACAGGTGGCATGGCAAAACTGATCCAGCCATTTGCCTCACTGATCTAACGAACCCAAATAACCCAGTAAGCCCAGTAAACCTCAAAGAAATCCAGCACCACTGAACTGTTGGAGGCATTGTGGCATCAATAACAAGCTTAAAAAACAACAACAATGTAATCTCTTTAGAAAATTCCCTTCCAGTGTGTTGCGCATGTGTTTGATATTTTATGCATGCTTCATAATACTCTTCAAATTAGAATTCCCACATTTTTTGCCAAAAAGGAATCATTCTCTCCTACAAAAAAAGCTGCTCCTAAACCACTTGCAACAATGTTTCCATTGTGCACCTTTCTTTTTTTGTTCACTTTGCTTGACAGTAAACCATGAACACAAAATGTTTTCTAGTGGCCTGTCTTTATTTTTCATATAATGGGTATGGTTATATTTTCCATACCCGTCCCCATTTCATCCTGAGAGCATCCTTAGTGCTGTCATCTGATTATAATACTTCCTTTAGAAGATCTACAAGAAAAAAAGTCAAAGGCTGCCTTTTAATTTAAGTAACGATCTAAATGAGGGCTTTCATGTGGCACATCAAGTCATTGGACAGCAACATCAACCTCAAGAGGGAGGATGCTAGCTAGCTGCTTTTTTGGGACATAAAGCAAAGAAGATCAACCAAGCTGTTACTCTACAGGAATGTACTGTAGAGTAACAGCTGAGAACAATAACTTTTCTCCATAACAAAAGGTAAGTTTAGAATAACGAGAACATGAACTTTAAAATCTCAGTCTTTATGTTCGTTCAGTGAGATCAGTTCTGAAAAACGGAACTATTTTTTCTCCATTTTTTATAGGGTCCCAACCCCTTCCCCCCTCCCCCCTGACTTCTCTACCAATATCTGCTGTATTATTATAGAATGCCACCAGAGGGCAGCATTTATTCCCGTAAATGACTTCTGTGTCAACTATTTCACGGGCATTAAACGAATTAGTATAAATAGGATGTATTCCATTTGAATCTATAACAGGTTATGATTCCAATGTGATTTTTTGTTGGATTTTTAAGACATTATATTTACCTAACAATTAATTCCTCATCTGTAGGCAAAATAGTTATTTTAATGCGGTTATTTCCCAGTTGCTCACAGAGGATCATGGGACCGTTTTGGTCCCGCTGCTCTGAAGGGGGCATATTCTGAGGATGATATCAGAGGATCCCAGGCAGGGCATGGTGGTGTACCATAACGTGCTTGATGACATCACATTTGAATTCCGCAGTAACCGCCATTGGAGCAGTCTCTGGGGTCTGCATTGTGTGTCCCCGCAGCTGCGCACACTTGTTAGTGGCCACTGCGTTTAAAGGATGAGCCACAGTCAAGTTGTCTCCTATGATAAACAGTTCCGCTATTGACTTTCACAGTAATGGCATCACGCGTGTGTGAGCCGTCGCAGGGCCGTGTGGCACTCCCCTTTTATTCCCTCTGTTGTTTCGGGCTGTACTGCGACACGCGTTACGCTTCCTATCCTCGCCTCCCCGTCTCCCAGTGAGCCGACCGCTCTCCCCCAAATGGAGGCTTGTGTGTGAAAAAATATCATGTTGATGCGAAGAAACGGGGTCAGCGGCGGAAAAAGGAGGACGCATCCCCGATCCCGAGGCTTGACTCTCCTCTCCCGGCGGTTCCCATGTCTCCGCTCAGGGCTGCTCTAAACCAAAAAGTCCGTCATCCGACAATGGGTCGTGGGCGATCATCCTGCAGCTGCTCGGGGAGCCGAGGATAGGGGGCCAACACACCGAACAGAGTCCCCCACAGTGGCCTGTTCCCCCGGTTCTGCTTCTCCTCTCAGCCGGGGCGTTTTGGAGGCGAACCGTCCACCGTGCGTAAATGTGCTCGAACGAGGTAGAAAAAGCAGAACTCAGGGAGGCTTTTTAAAACGCCGAACCGGAGCGTTTTCGGTCTGCCATCGGAGTGAATCGATTTCTTTGTGGTTCCGCGAGGCGGATGGAGTGAATTGTGCAAAAAGGGGGGGAGTCAAACTGCAGTTTGGTTGCGTGTGATGATAGGAGACACAATGACGCTCTTGTCTCTTCTGGGTCGGATCATGCGTTATTTTCTCCTCAGGCCTGAGACATTGTTTCTGTTGTGCATAAGCCTGGCGCTGTGGAGCTACTTCTTCCATACCGACGAGGTGAAAACCATCGTCAAGTCCAGCCGGGATGCCGTGAAGATGGTGAAGGGAAAAGTGGCCGAGATGATGCAGAACGAGCGTCTGGGAGGCCTCAGTATCCTGGATGCAGAGTTCTCCAAGACGTGGGACTTCAAGAACAACAACGTGGCCGTGTACTCGATACAGGGGAGGAGAGACCACATGGAGGACCGATTCGAGGTGCTGACCGACATCACCAACAAGAGCCACCCGTCGATATTCGGGATATTTGATGGGCACGGCGGAGAGGTAAGCCGGGAGGGAAAGGTGCAGGCCCCTTTTATTTACTGCATTCTGTGTTGATGCAGTAAAAGCTCTCCTACTGCGGGCTGGACCTCACATTTTATTGGCAGGACGGGAAGTTTTCTGTTTTTTCCTGAGAAACAAACAAACAAAAAAGATAACTCAGATTGCTTTGAGTCCTTATTCTAAAGAGTCCTTGCATCTTAGTTGAAAGCCCGCAGTGGCTCATGAAACCACAGACTTTGAATAATAGATGTTAAATGTTTGAAATAAGACAAAAAATACAGAGACATTTTTCCACGTTGAAGACATTTCTTTTGTTGGCTTAAAGAGTCGGATTTGGTTTGCTCATAGCTCACCCCACTTGTCAAACACAGGACTTCCCCTCCTCACTCCAGCATTGTGTGAATACCTCCACAATCCCCGTACCACTCAGGGAATTGACTTTGCGTTGTGACAAAAGCTTTGTGTGTGTGTGTGTTTGTGTGTGTACTTAGTGAGGTTGTGCTTCTTTCTCCTCCTTTGGGGGTGTTGTCAAGGGTCAGTTGTTTCTCATGGGTGCCTGAAGACTGTTTGTCGCACCATCTGTCCCAGAGACGTTCAAGTATGGGACGCACTGTAAAATAAGTAAAATAATAGTCAATAGTCAAATAGTGCCACACAACTGAGAAAATAGTACAGGCAAGGAGTCCTTATTTGATCTTTTTATACCCCCAAAATACATTTTCTGAATATTTAGGAGCTTTTCATATTAGCCTACGGTTTTAGAACACTCACATTATGTCTGTCTCTGAAGACAGGGGCCAATATTTCTAAGCTTCAGTCTGGCCGAAAGATTGCAGCAACCTGGACACAGATTCCCTCCATTTCCTCTTGTTTAATCACAGATGTAGCTTTAAAAAGCTGATGACTGCGGGCCATCTTTTGGCCACCAACAATGCTGCAACTGAGCTCTGATGAAATGTGATTTGACAGTTCCTCTAGGGCAGAAGCTGGAACACAAATAGAGACCGGTGAGCTTTCAGTGCCCCAAAAAAAGAATGAATTAGAATATCCCTTTAAAGACTATTACAGCATCTCGGGGAGGCTTCAGTAAAGCTTTACAATATATTTAGTAAGTAAATCATTGGAAAATTTGTATCCTTTTCCAAAGATTTTGGAGACAGTCCAAGGCATTGAGCTCTGAGACTTCTCTGCAGTGGATGCAGATTTTAGACACTTCAGTGAGGTTTGATTCACAGTTTAGAGTAAAGTTGTGGAGCTTGGGAAACTGATATTATTGATTTCAAAGTTTTATATGATAGCCACTCTTAATTTCATGCCAGTATCTCGGTGAGTCGAGGAATGAAATACGAGGGGATAAGATTGAAATATTCTTTGCTACAAACTTGTTTTGTTCAGCTGTTACTCCAAACTTATTTGCTATATTTGACTTGCAAATCAAATGCTAATATATTAATAAAACCAGCAGAGTCAAACAGACGCTGACAACAAACAAGGTGTTTAACAGAGTAGATGTGTTGTATGGGGGCATCCTTGTCTTTTTCTGCCTTAATAGCCTTTATTTATCATTTCTGTCTCTGATAAATTTCTCTTTTTGAAATGGTTAAAAAATGTCAAAATGCTTGACATTTTGTCCCTCTCTTTGCTAAGAAAGAAAACGTTTTACTCTTTTTTTGTGGGATAGGTTGGGACTTGGCATTCCATGCTATGACATATCTTCAATTTCCACCGGGCTGTGACCTTAATCTTTAAATGAAATACTCTCAATTTTGCAGACTAAAAATTTTAGCCTGTAAATCTCCCCTGAGCTGGTATGTGAAGTAATTAATTAGAAGAAGAGTTAAGGATCATCCATCAGAGCTGATCAAACTGCAGGATAAATGTTTAGTATTTCTTTTTTATAGGACAGTTGTATGGTCATAAATAGATAAAAATGGTAAGACAAGCACTTTCATTCATTCTTTCATTAAGGGATTCTGCTTAGTCAGTTATGGACAAATGGAGCGGGCTGTCTCTCAGTGCAGTGTGTCCTGGCACAGAAAATATGCGGATAATTCCTTGGACACTCCCCCACCCCTCTCTCTTTTTTTCTGCAGTGCTTATTGAAGCTGGAGTTATGGTCCTTAATATGCAAAAGTCAGTGCAGGAAGCTGCTGGTTTTCCTAACTAATGTTTTTAAAGACTAAAGCTTGAAACTGAAACCTGAAATGGTTCATGGTTTTGCTGTGAGAACAAAGGAAATGAGTGTTTGAACCACCCACCCCGCATTTTGGGCTTTTTACTGCAATGAAACATTTCTGGTGGTAGCTGTTTTTTTTATCCAAGCCCTCTTAAGTGCAATTCTCCAATTAGATAAGTGCCGAAGTACTTGTTCAGCAAAACATAAAAGAATGAAAGGCTAGAGGCAGCCCCCCCCATCTTTTTTGCAACACTTTGTGAAGACTGAAAATTCAAATTTATCTTATGTAACATGAGCTCTTGTGTTTGTGCTGTTGCACCATGATTGCACATAGGAAGGCAACACACAGGCATTGAGATGAAATACTTTTTTCCTATATTAGATTTTATTTGACAGCATTAACTTAATGGAAATCTTGGCAGAGGAAATGAGGACAGAAGCAGAGGAGTACAGGCTGGAAGAGGAGGGGGCTGTTTAATAATTCAGCCGAGAGCACCTGCTATTTGGTACAAAAAAGTACTTCTCTAAATGAGGTCTTTCTCTACTGTACAGCGCAGGCTAATTAATCTGAGAATGAGAAACCTTTGAATGTGGTAAAGAACAAACTGCTTTCTGATTGAAAACATTCACATATGATAACACCACATATGATTACTGAGAGGAGAAATACTGTTTCTATGATGTTTTCATGTATTCACCTGGTCACGCTTAGTCTGTGTTACTTCATGTTTTCAGTCAGAAAGATTTGGCAGTTCGGTTTGCATGAGCGTGCTTGCAAAGTATATTTTTCTGCTTTTTTCTGTGTTCCATTGACACAATACTGAGCCTCGATATTAGAGTTTTTTTTTTTTTAACAGCATCGTCTGCATCCTGCCTCTACTTCTTCTGCATCCTCTGTCTCATCCCTAATGTGGCTTCTTCGCCCCTCTGACTTCCTCCCCATCCCAGGCTGCAGCTGACTATGTGAAGGCCCACCTGCCGGAGTCCCTGAAGCAGCAGCTGCAGGCCTCTGAGAGAGAGAAGAGGGAAAACACTGTCAACTACGCCAGCATCCTCGAACAACGCATCCTGACTGTGGATCGCGAGATGGTGGACAAGCTCTCCGCCAACCATGATGAAGCAGGTCAGCAGGGAGATGGAAGGTGGCAGGAAGAGGTGGTAACATCATGTTTCTAAACATCCAGCCGCATATTGTAAAGAAAAGCGTTTTAGATTGAGCAGCTGGGGAAACGTGTTCTGAGACATACACGCAAACAGACCGAGATTGTCGGATAAAAATGCCCCCAAAACACATTCATCATTAGAAAATACAGAGATCACAAAATATAGTCACTTATTAAGAATTCTAAATTGAAGGTTTTCTGCAAAATACCCTTTGAATTCCATTTTACTCATAAGATATGATATAACATATTTCCTTCACAAGATGTGACGCATTTCTAAGAAGCACAGTGAATTATTTATGGTGTTCAGTGACGGTGGGAGCAATGTTGGAACTGTATCAAGAGTCAACAACTGTCAATGATGTAGACAAAAAATAGATGAAAATAGCAAGAAACAAAATGTTTTGGCAAAGTACACTATAAGGTTATTTAAATGTGTTTTTTTTCTGTGTTACTACTAGCCAAATATGTGAAATCCTGTTCCTGTCTTGCATAACCACGCTTTTATACATTAGTTCATACAGGCCTTGACCATAACTTATTAGCTAATTTAAACATAATTTCATAATTCTTGTATTACAGAGAAGATGTTGAATAATATTTTTGCCTATTTTACTTGCAGCATTTTCCAAATTCTTTATAATTTTTTTTTTTTTTTTTTTACGAAATAACTCTATGTACATTAAAAAATAGTTACATTTAAAGGGCATTGTGATGTTTTAAAAGTGCTTCTGTGGAGTCGCTCACCTTGCCAGATTCCAATATACACCATATTATTTCCTTTTTTTTTTTAAAAAAGACATCAACAATTCTTTTGTTCCACAATCATATTTAACTATGTAGAATCCTGTACTTCCTTGGCAGGAACAACGTGCCTGATGGCGCTGCTGTCCGATAGAGAGCTCACAGTGGCCAATGTTGGAGACTCACGAGGTGTGTTGTGCGACAAAGATGGGAATGCCGTTGCGCTGTCACATGACCACAAACCCTATCAGCTTAAAGAACGCAAGAGGATCAAAAGGGCAGGTAGATAAAACGATCCCATAAACCATGAACACTGTGCACTTGTTTTTATACCTCCCCTGGTTTTAGTGCCACCCACAGAGGCCACTGCCCTCTGTGGGTGCGTGCCTGTTATAACTGACGGCTATTTTCGTTTGTGAGAATACTATAAATGCAGAACCTTTTCTTGTTTGCTATTTCCAGGTGGTTTTATTAGTTTTAATGGGTCCTGGAGAGTCCAGGGGATCCTAGCTATGTCACGGTCCCTGGGGGACTACCCGCTCAAAAACCTCAACGTGGTCATCCCCGATCCTGACATAATGACCTTTGACCTGGACAAACTACAGCCAGAGTTCATGATCTTGGCGTCTGACGGCCTGTGGGATGCCTTCAGCAATGAGGAGGCGGTGAGGTTTGTCCGCGAGCGTCTGGACGAGCCCCACTTCGGAGCCAAGAGCATCGTCCTGCAGTCGTTTTACCGCGGCTGCCCCGACAACATCACCGTCATGGTGGTGAAGTTTAAAAGTGGAGCGAGGGGCAGCAGCAAGGGGGGTGACTAAGTCGGGGTCGCCTTTAAAAGCTTGTGATTCGATCGGTATGATTTATTTTTCAATATCTTCCGATTACAGGAGAACGGGGGGGGAAACTGAAGGATTTGACAAGTACACACATACAGACACGCGCACTCACACTTAAAATAAAGTTTTATTTTCTCACACCAATAAGAAAAGGGCATTTAATCACAGATACCATGACTATCTTCTATAAAATGATGAACTCCTGAGAAAAATGAAGTAGAGTACTAGGACTAAAAACACAGGGGTTTGTCTGGACCAGCACACATTAGAATGTGATTGTTTACTACACACGCACATGAATGGTAAGGCTCCACTGGAGGCTTTTTTTTCAGAGGAGGCTTAAAGTTGTGCCTACTTAAGAATGACTGTATAACTAAAGGAAGGTGCTGAACATGCAACTGCTAAAACACCTCCCAGCTTCTGGCATTTCCGTGATTCTCTTAAGTGTCGTTTGTGTCTATTCGGTTTTCAGTGAACTTGAATTATTTTGTCAAGTTGGAAAAAAAAAACACTCCAGTGGATCCATACCTTAGATCATCTTTGATGCCACCTCCAAATTGAACTTCTGAGCGTGAAACACTGAACAGCTGCATATTTAAGTGGTGCGTGATAATTGTGTGAAGTTTGAGCCTTAGCTCATCATCGACTCATGCTGGGTGACAACCTAAAAGTGGGTGAAAACCTAAGTCATCTACAGCAAGACGGGAGTTTCCTTTGAAGACTGATTTTAAAGTTTGCAGACATGTGATACTCATAAGAGAAATTAAGGGTTAACCAACACCACGTACACAAGTGGCATTGAAAATGCAATGTTCAGAGGTACATGATTTTGAAAGTTAATTCTTACATATCAGCCAACGCTAACACTGTCTGTCCCCTGAAATGCAGGAGGGTTTTAATGTATGTAAAACCTAATTCAGAACCATTCACCTCATGTTATGGAACCAATGTGAACCGTTTCCTTAAATGGTTTTGTTTGCACCATCTGCAGCAGGGCATGTGCTTTGGCTTATCCATGTTCACGATCGGGAAACTTGCAGTGTTTGTCACTGGATTCTGGTGTCTGCCTGTTGACCTGCAAAGCACAGAAGTCTTGATGTGCTTGAAGTGACTCAAAGATGACTCATCATGAGCTTTACAGCTGCAGGCAGAATGCTAGTAATTAGAAATATGATATGCTCTTGAAGCAATTCAACTGGCATGGTCAACTTATCAACGACTGTTCCAGTAAGCCGTACTTGATTTACTACTGTTTTTAGTTCAACTGTTACCACTGTGTACCATCACCTTTCGTCTGCTGTAATGGTGGATGAGATATATTTTTTATTTAACATCATACCTAATGCCTTATTTATTGTTTTTGGATGTCTGGCAGATTGCCGAATCAGCATATTGTATGTTTATTTTATGTCCTTCTGTACATCAGCAGAAGTTTATAATAAAAAAAAACGAAACAAAACATCATCTTACTGTGAGAAGCCGTCCATGATCAACCTGTGGTTGGATGTTCACCATGAAAAGTATGCTCTATGTAATCTATCAGTATTAAACAAACTCTTTCAAGTGAAATATGTATCTTCTTTTAGTTTTTATTATATCTAAACCCCAATAATTCACCTTGAGCATATATTGCTCAAGTATATAAATGGTTATATATGAACTTGATTACTTTGACCCTAGTTACTCATGTTCATTTTCCTTTGAGAGGTTGCTGGCCCAATTTGGCAGGTGTCCTGAAGCACTTTAATATATAACGCCTTTCATAATGGAGCAACAATGATGCTCTGACAAGAATATAAATGCCAATCGTAAATGTACTCTTCTGCAAACATATTAAAGTAGAGCAACGCGTAATATTTCAAGAATGTGAGATACTTCCACAAATAACGCTGTCTCCGTGCCTGGCCTCAAACGCAGCTCCGCCCATCCGCAGCACCCGGAGAGAGCGCGCAACTCGAAACCGCTCACTGCTGTCACTGTAGAGACGGACTGCAGCAGGTGGAAATGCTCAGAATAGCTCCAACTTAAGCGGATCCGAATGCATAACTGCTTGATATTGACGTCCAACAACTGATTAAGCGAGCGCGTCCAGTCTTCCCGGAAGGCTTTACACCGCATCAAGGGGAGCTGCTGCTTTATAAGCGAGACTAGTGAGTCTACAGCTCCATGGCAGCCCCTTGTCTTTAGTCAGCTAACAAACAAAACCGTTCAGAACGTTTGGATATTGCTCAGGATTGTTTAAATATCGAGAAAACATGGGACAGCACGGCTCCAAATCCTCCATCGAAGCCCGCGTGGTTTTCCAGCGCCTTGGTGAAATGGACATGTGTCAAGGAGCGGACATGTGCTCGACCCCAGCCTCTGTTGTCCACATTCAAAAGAAGGCGACAGCTCAGGCGACTTCTGTCCGGATGCCGGAGAAGTCCGCGGACCCCTGGCCACTAAGTCGCCGTGACAGTGGGGGACTGGTGTACGTGATGGATAACCCTACCGGCGGCGTGTGGGTGAAGCCCAGAGAAAAATGGACCAGATCCTGATCCAAACCTCAATGGGTTACTCCACGAAATTTATTCAGATTTATTGAGAAGAATCAGCCGGACGTGCTGCACATAAGCAGACCACGCTGCGCTCAGGCTGCGTCCTGGAGCCGAGGCGCGCATCGTGGTGCACTCAGGATGTCACAAGTCTAACGGTTGAAAACTTCAGTGGCTTCCGTGATGCTTATTTTGGCTGATGTGACCACGGTGTTTAGTTAAAGGGTTTTGTGAGAACTTTAAAAAAAAATCTCACAAAGTCTGACAAAGAGATGGTCAGAGGAGCTGAAAGTTCACGTGTTTTCTTTGGAGCCACTGTCACATCGTGCTGATATGGCCGAGGTTATCAAGACCCAGACACCTGGGTTAGAAACGTAAGGAATACTCACCTTTAAGAGATATGCCAAGGTGATTAAAGAAAAGAGGGGAGCTGGGATTAGGTCATCTGAAATGTTGGATACGGTAAACAGCCCATTTAAGGTAAATCAATCCGTCTTAACCAACTCTTCAAACAACTGACTTACCGTAATTTATTTTTCCTTCTCTTTTATTCAAGTTTTTTGTTATTGACGGCAGATTGAATGTGATATCGTGAGGTTTGTAGGGTTTTTTTTAGGGTAAAAATGGAAACAGAAGGTTAGATCTGAGAGAAACTGGTTCAACATTTTTCAACAGGGTGTCAACATTGACTTGTCCACTAACGTGTGAAGGCAACAACATGGTTTGACGTCACTGTTTGTATCTTAAAACGATATTTTGGGATTTGATTTATTTCTACTACTTTTTTTAAAGTATATTTTTTCGTATGCGTCGTGATTATTTGAATATATTTTTTTTATAGCTGGTAAATTTTTGATTAACCAAGCTATTGGTGTTCTGTTTACTTATTTACCTTCACATATCTCAAAGCTCTTGAATGATTATTTATAAAGACATCAGGAATTAAATTAACTTTATGTATCACTCTTACAAAGCAATTGAAAGTAATCTCTTCTGACAACACGAAGCAACAATGGGCTTGCGTTTAAAATGGTTATTCAGCGTTTAGAATTGAATAAATGACTTTAGAGTGATTGCATTTGGAAGTGCCTACTGTAACTGAACTTGTGATACGTTTGGATGCAAACTTTGTCCCTGGTGTGGCGCCTTATCGTTGAGTAGTGCGTTGAAGTCAGCAGGAAGCTAATGGCTTATCCATTAAACTCCGGGCTACGCACTGAGCAAACATTGCGTCAAAGGGGGAGAAGATGTGACGGTTCCACCTGAGGGGAGCGTTTGTTTCTGTCAGTTCTCGCCATGGGGCATCTTGTTTCCAAGCAACCCGAAGTGCAAGTTCTACTTCTGGGTTTGGACAACGCCGGAAAATCCACTTTTCTCTACAAGCTGAAACACAACGCGTGTGTCACCACCGTCCCGACGATCGGCTTCAACGTGGAAATGCTCGACGCCCGGAAGAGCAGGAAGAACATCTCGGTGACCCTGTGGGACGTGGGCGGTCAGGGACTGATGCGGCCTCACTGGCAGGACTTTCACCAGAACACGGCGGCCGTGGTGTTCGTCGTGGACAGCGCGGACACGGAGCGTCTGCAGGAGGCGCGCACCGAGCTGGACACCACGCTGCGCAGTGACCAGCTGCGCGGCCGCCCGCTGCTGCTGCTGGCCAACAAGCAGGACGTGAGCGGGGCGCTGACCGCCACGGAACTCAAAGACACGTTCAACCTGAGAAAGGTTTGCTCGGGTCGGGACTGGTTCGTGCAGCCCTGCTCCGCTTCGACCGGGTTCGGAGTGGAAGAGGCCTTCAAACGACTGGTCCAGATGGTGAAACTGCCCTCAGAGGCCGGAGCAGTCAACATCAAGGAAACGGTGCACTACCTCCGATCGAACAGTAAACATTAGAGTTTATTTAGACGGCGTGTGCCATTTTTGAGACGGACACCATCAAAATGGATTTTTAAAACTTGGTTCTGAATATTGTTTGAATTCATCCTTATCCACAATAAAAATCGTTTTAAGACATTTGCTTCGCTGGTTTAATCTACAATCATCCGTTCGGAGGCTGGACTGCATTGGAGTAGCCCTATCATATTCAAAGTTGTTTTACAAGGGTACCATTAAAGCTGTTGTGCATTAAAAGGACAGCGAGTGATGGAAAAGTTCATTCCAAGCTAACCTTTTATCTAAAAGGGCTTAAATTGGGCATCGCTGTAAAACAAAATACATCATCAAAAATATGTGGAACTATATGTTTTATTATTATTCTTAGACAGAGACATTTGCAGTGATCATAACATTTTGCTTTAGTTTTAACATATACATTTCCTTTAGAAAATGTAATTATTTTCTTTACCCAAAATATCTTTCCCTGAATTGTTTTAGGAAATTCTTGATCAATGAAAGTGCCAATTGACACAATCACTATCACATTGAAGGAAACTATGAGTCAATCAAAGGCTTCTAGAAAGTATACTTGTATTCGTTATAGTAGCCCATTATTCTGTCATCGTTCACTGTCAATAAGTCTCAAGCTTTCCTGATAGGATTAACACGTTCGTTGAAATCATTGGAACATGGGGGGAGGGGGGGGTGTTCCACTTATATAGGGGAATACAATCATTTAGCTATTGCCTCATTTTTACAAAAAGGACTTTGGAAACAACAAACCAATGCTCAGTTCACTTGGCGTCCCCGGGATGTAGCTGTCCACTGGGTGGACGACGGTCCTGCCTGGCTCTCTTCGCGGACTGTTTCCTCGTAAGTTGGGAGACGTTTACACTCGTCGTATGTGGGTAGTTGAGGGAAAGGAGCTGGATCGACCAAACTGTCCGGGGTGCAGCTCTCCATGAGCATCTCCTGGGATGTGGTAGCCGTTGGGTGTCCGGTCAGTGGAGGAGTGCGCTGCCTAGATTTGGAGCACAGCATTCTCTGGACAAAGTATCCTATCGCGAAGAGCAGCAGCATGATGAGCACCCCGGAAAGTTTCCGGGTGACCATGGCGATGTTGTAGTAAGTCTGGTCAACAATCTGCTTGCAACAAGTGACGGCTGTCGCATTTCCGTGTGAGCAGCAGATCTGGTCAATCCGACAAATGTCTTGTCCACATCTGAGGATGGTATAAAGGAGCGTGTGGTCCAGGAGACAAAAACTTAAAACCGTTACTGCCTGCCATCTGCTGAAGAACATTGTCTCAAACGTGATGGGGACGATCAAGTGACGGTCGACGGGATGAATAGCGGGATGCAGGAGAGTCCTTTCACGTGTGGATGTTACGCCGAGAGAAGCCTGGATGGAAACACTGACGCAGAGCCATCATTCACTTACTGCAAACCCACGGCGCGTTTAAAATCACTTGAACCAGTAACAAAGTACGACCGAGTTTATGTAAACGCACAGAAAAAAAGAATATTAAAATGGAGAAAAGTCAAAAACAAAAACGTGCATCTAGAAAACAGTTGTATTCACATTATCTCTTCGGTCCTGATTTATTATTTAGTTTTAAAGGCGCCTACTGATAACATCCTTCAGAGTCGTAAACAAATGGTCTGGAAGTTAGGAGGCGCACAAGAAATGGACTATAGAAGCATCGAAGAAGCTAATTTTGGCCCCATGAGACCTAAAAGTGGGAGGGGACCTCAAAGAAAGCAGCCTTAAGTGGCTGGGCGCGTCAGAACCTTGGACAGAGTCCGACACACCCAGAGAAGGAAACAATAAAGGGCGCTGTCCGAGGTGCTGACGCACCCGGGCTGTGCGTCGCTTCTGGCGAAAGTGCAGAGAATTTCCATTTCCAGGACCACTTCGTGTGGATTGGTCAAGTAAGGTCATCTCTTAAAAGCTGCAGCGCTTTGATCGACGTCCATGTAGCTGGATCCGTCTTTAGGAAGCCTAAAGTGTTTCCCCTTTTGGAAAGGGACTTTTGCAGAAACTGATAGGTTTGGGTAAAAATACAAACAGCTGCTCCATTATCGATAACCCGAGATTCCCTTTTAAATGCACAATCAGGCTTAAGGGAGACGCTAGAGAAAGAAACAAGCCAGGGTAATGGGTTTACTGGATGAGGCAAACATAGCCAACAATTTGTTGCATCATAGCATCAAGAGATAATCAATACTGTGACTACCTGATTAGGTTGTGGGTAGTAATGGAAGGAAGTGCTCTCTAATAGCATGTCTGCAAATCTTCTCAATTGACAACAGCAAGTATCATGTTACAGTAGATGGATGATTTTCAGAAATAAGAAGGATGCATCATTTTTGACATACATACATACAGGTTTAATGAGCCTAATGAGTTTAATCGCTTACAGCCCAGAGCCAATTGTTTGCCCAGGCCACAGAGAAATCACTGGAGATTTACAGTACATTTGATCTTTGTATGGTTCAAACAGGAAAACAAAAAACACAAAAAGGAAGCATTATTAGATACATCAGAAAACACAGTTGTAACTAAATGTATTCAGCAGTGGGTCAGATGTGTTCCTATGTTGGGGGGGAAAAAGCCACAAAAGTATTCATAAGACAGTTTAATCTTGAGTCATTTTCAAACATAACTGTCATTCAATTAGCAGCAGTGAAATCCCCCCCCACACATTCTAGAGTCAGGTATCACAAGTCTTATGTGGGCTTATTCTTTTGTGAAAGTACTGTTTTGTAATCCGTGGCGCTGGTGACATATTTATGCTTTGGCAGTACAGTAAGAGGCCCCAGTTGGATGGTTTGCTCTGTAAAACAAAATCACAGAAGGTCTTTGTTTAAAATTGTGTAGCATCTTTTGCAGTTGCATATATTTGTCAGATTTCTCAGCTAAACAGCTTTGTTTGGCATCTGTTCCATTTGGTATTTTACATACTTGTAAATGATAGAGCTAATAGCAACTTGTGAGAAGTTTTAAAAAGTTTTTAAAAAAAAGTTATTGTACTCACGTCTTTTGTAGTCCGTGTTGCTTTTAATGAGTTTTTCAGATGGTTTCACTTGCTGGCCCTTGTGCAGTGGATTAAAACTAATGTAACTGGCTGGACGGTATTCAGCCTTTTTGGGGGCTAAAGTTTCCTTAGACATTGTTGAGGGCCGTGCTTCAGTGCTCAAGGTAGCTTTAGGAGGTTTGGTGGTTTGATGTTCCTCCACCCACTGGGGAGAATCACAGTTTCTACAAGCTTGATCATTGCCATCAACGGACTGCCATCTGGATAGGGAGGAGAATATTTCTCAGGTGTAAAGTAAATAAAACTCCCTTTTGAAAACTAAAATCTAAAGATGTTATGTTGCACTTTACTCATATTTCAATTCGGCAAAACATTTTCAGTTGTCACTATTGAGACAACTGATGTTAAAAAGAACAGACTTGAAATTTACCTGTTGTTGATTAAAGAGCAGGCCCGGTTTTTAGAGCTTACTGGCAACGTGACCAGAACAGCTTTCAAATGGCAGGTTATGTAGACCTGTGGGACACAGATGCTGGATTAAAATACAATCAAATATTTGTATTTCTGATAAAGAATTATTTTTAACCCAGGGAAATCTGTAAAATCAATTGATAAACTGAAAAGGGACATGGTTGAGGTAATAGCTATACATCAACTTAAAGTTGCCAACTGTTGAGTTGTAAGAAACTAAAAGAGAAAAAAAGATAAATTAACAGCAACCTCGTTGCTGGGCTCTTGGTAGAAGTTGAAGGCATCCAACTGGAACCTCAGCTTGTGTTCCTCGACTCTCGGTAGGAAATGAGAGTTGGATTTTGTCAATTGTGCGTCAGTAAGACACCTAGTGTGTCAAGGGAGGAGAAAAAAGAGAACGGATTGATAACAGTTCCATTGAAATAGAGTCTTCATCTACAAGTGCAAGTTCACCCTGAAACTTACCCATGATTCTCTATAAAGTCGTATCTCAGTGTTGCCTCTGCATCAGCAGTTGTTGTGGCAACACAGTGGTCAACATACACTCTCAGAGGCATGTGGTTACCCATAACGGCAGACACCTCAAAATGAATGGGATGACCCAGGTAAAATGTGTAAGATCCCCTGTCAGACTGCCAGTCATCTATATATAAAAAAACAAAGCAAACCTAAATATCCTTTTCAAAACTGTGATACAAGTATCTTATATTTTGCACAAATAATCTTAAATTGCATATGGTTGAAAAAACCTCTTCATACCAGTCATAATTTGAAAAGTGAAGTCTATCTGGCCATCTACGGAGGTCGTGGAGATGAAAGGAATCCAGGTGGGATACAGAGAACTGCTACCCACCATGTATCTCCTAAAACAGACACAAGCAAGCCTGTTAAAACACTTTTGCATTTTGTATGACTGACACTTTAGAGCCCTCTTAAAAGTAAAATAACGCAACAGGAGCCTGGTTTAAAAGCCTCACTCACCTCTCATAGTGACATTCAACAGGAATAGTGGCTCCATCCAGCCTGAGCAGCCCATCAGAGGAGGGTTCAGGTGAGTAGACCAGGACGTTGGAATAGACGATCATCTCCTCTGTTGACTAATTGAAAAAGTTTTTACTACAAACGTATAGAAGCCTATAGTTCCGCCTAAACGACTCTGGACCGGCTGGGCTTACAGAGAGTTTGGTTCCACACTCGGTGAGCCAGGTCAAGAGGGTGAACTCGTCCTCTCCTGATGGGACCGCTCCGCACTCCCCGCCGTCGCTCGGAGGATTTAAACCGAGTCTCAAATGCGCGCCGTCCACCCTCAGACCAGATTCAAACAGGTCAGCCCGCACCACGACCTCCATCGAGCCTGGGAGGCACCTGACCGCGACGGGTCGAGGCCGCGCTTCGAGCTCCACTCTCTGCTTCCGTTCGAGCGGGGACAGCCGGGGTTGGATTTTTTCGTGCGCCCTGACCGGATTTTGGAAGCCTCGGTGTAGCCGAGCTTCCGTGAGGGTGAACGCTGAATGAAAGATGACGATCCACCAGGAAACGACGCGTCGCAGGTTGCAGTCCATTCTCAGACGCGTTTTGGGGGGGAGTAACGGGACGGGGCCGCGCGGCACTGGAAATAAAAGCGCAGCTGCAGGTGATCAGACGTCTTTAAACGCACCTGGGGGCAAAGTTCAACCCACTCACTGCAGCTGTTCCAATGAACGAGTTGGAAAGAAAACCTTAAATAAATCATATTTTTAAAAAAGCTTTTTTATTTGATGCGTTAAATGAATGATTATTTGATACTGACCAGGCCTTTGTGTGTGACTTTTATATACATGATGTTTACCAAGCGTCCCACCAGGTGGCGCTAAAACTGCATCAACTCAGTAAACTGAGTAGGCTATACGGCAGTCAAATATTTTTACCTGAGCAGCAAAGGACCATCAACTTTTATTTTTGACATTTGTCCTCAGTGTTATTCAGCTTTGAATATATAAATATATATATTCATATATATCTTTTGGCAAATAAGAAAGAAAACTATATCTTAATGATAGCAATGTTGTTAAATCCCAAAGCTTTACTCCAAGTACATTTTTGCCCTTAGAGCTAAATTATAGGTTCGTGCAAATCCCACCAGGTATTGCTTTGTATTTTAATATGTGTTGATGCATTATCACAGTAATATATTCTTCTATAACCAGAAGTTCTTTTTATTCTTAATAGAAACATAGCTTCCACAAAGCTTGCGAAATAAATCTGAAGAGCTGAAAAATCAGTAGGCTATAGGTTTTTAAGTGCTTTTCATATCTGCTGAGAGGGATTACTTTAAATGATCTGAAAACAACATATTTGTCAAATCTTTGCTTACTTACATATATCTTATGAAACCTAAGCAGTTCATTGGGTTAGCTGAGTTTCCCTCCAATATTTGTATGAATGTGAAAAAATTCATTTAAAACATGTAGTGAAAGAGTTTTGATAAAGCAAATTCTGTGTAGATGATTTGGAATATTAGAATGTCCATCAGATGTTGATTTGCATGGCAAATACTTTCACAAATGAACTTAAAGTATTAATGTGATTGTGGACTAAACGTTTTGTACAGGCACAGAAAACAATTAATTCAACATCGAACAGAAATTGTATGTAAATTACAGTGGGTACCTTTTGAGTTTTAATATAATTTATGGTTATCCATTTGTTCTCTCCAGGTACTCTGGCTTCCTCCCACCATCCAAAAAACCTGCATGTTTGGTTGATTGGACATTCCAAATTGCCCTTAGGAGTGAGTGTGAGTGTGTGTGGTTGTTGGTGCTTGTGTGTCTCTGTGTGGCCCTGCGATGGACTGCTGGACCGTTCAGGGTGTACCCTGCCTCTCACCCACTGACCACTGGGATAGGCTCCAGCCCCCCAATAACCCCATTTGGGAATAAGCGGTTCAGAAAATAGATGGATAGATGTGTTATCCATCTGCGTTTGAAAAGTTGTTTTCTTTTGCTCCAAAAGTTGTTAGATGTATTAGATCAGTGTTAAAGTGTTTCACAACAGTATCAGGAGTATCGGGAGTTTTGGAAAAAGAAATGTTTACATGTTTATATTGTCTTATCCACAATTGCCTTGCAATGGTCCTTACAATTTCTTTAACATACAGTGGTGTGTTTTCAGTGGTAAATGCATCATAGGTTTTTCTCAACCTCAGAACCCACAAATGTCATTTATGCATATTTCACTGGCCATAGGTGGAATAAAAACAGAAACTAAATTTTAAACAAAACCTTTATTTTTCCCACCTGGTTATCAGGGGGGCTGCTGCTTACCTGCTTCTCTGAAATGTATATATGATTCTTTGCAAATATGAGTTACTGGTGTTGTTGGCAGGTCATAAGGTTTATTGACATGCTCATTAAGATTGGTTGTAATTTGACTTTTTATCCAGGATCATAGATCTAGTGCACATGACCTTTTATGGTGTCCAGCAGTCAGACAAGAAGAAATAAAAAGAAAACCAGCAGGTTTAATGCAGAAACATTTTTATTTGATATTCTTGGAACCAAGTAAGTTACATGACAATAAATAGTTTAAAATAAATAGTTCTTAATAAAATAATAAATAGACAGCATAAATTCCTTAAATATATTTTTCACACGATGTTAAACAAAAACAAATGCTCACTCTTATGTATCCTTGAGAAAAAGTAACGATAAAGTAGACAGTCAGTGTTCGTTGCCACAAGTAGGTTATGTGAATGTAACATACAACTGTTACTTTAGAATTTTTTTTGGGGGGGCTTGGCATTTTGCATGTAAAGTGGTTCTGTGTAGCTTTCTGAAATAGTTTCAGTGATAATTCACTTAAAGTTAACATCAGACTTCATGTAGCTGATGGCTCTGTTAATTGTGACAGTGCGGACCTGGAAGCCTCTCAGGACTTTGCAGAGGTTCAGTCTCTCTACGTAGGTATTCCCATCATTCACAGGAGCCTTAAAGAAACACAGAAACACCATTATGATTGTATGAAAATCAGTGGTCTTTTATATTTTCATGATTATATTCAGATGCCCTATTTCTCATAATATCTTGTAATATCTTACGTCCTTTGAGTCCAAGACTGTTGGCAGGGGCGACTTGAAGCAGTTCTGTTAATTAAAGAAAAAACAAAACAATCCCTTTTATCATGTTTTATTTTATTATGATATATATTATTTTTGTTTTAATATTTTTATAGTTCAAATTTATTTGAATAGAAAAAGGTTAAAAAAAAGAATTTAAGTAATTTTCTTCTTAGAATCACATCAATTTTGGAGGAAACTTAACTGAAATAGCACCGACAGTGATTCTGAATTAAGTGGAAAATCTTACCTGCATGAGTTCTGTGAGGCTGAGCAGAACAGTTGAACCAAGCAAACCTTCTGGGTCTGGCTGAGCTGCCAGGAATTTGTAGTAATGATTGAGATCCTTTTCAATGTTTGCCACACATGACTCCTGGATGGGAAAACAGCAATCAAAATCACTGAGGCAACACATACAGTTTCTGGCAGTAAATGAGAGCCGATGATGAACAGCCCTGACATATCATCTGTAGTCTGCTGAGGGCCATTTAAAGCTTTTACATGAATCATGCGACAATTTCATTTCATATACATAAGAACTAACTCAGCAGTATTTTTTCTAAATACAACATTTTACCTTATCAAATTGTGATTTTGGAATTCCAGGGCATGCAGATTCCTATGAGACAATTGGATATTAAAAAAAAAATCAGAAAAGCAACAAAAATAATGAAGAAACTACGATAAAGGAGCTTTTAAATTTTCATACATGGAGGCATAAGGATTAATCTATTTTCATTACTTTTAACGGCATGATTTTCCTCTAAGTATACTGAATCTAAATGTGAACTTTTCATTTGTACCTGTGGTGTGCACACAGATGGGGTGTTGGTCAGCATATTCAGCTCCACATTCTGCTCACAGAAGAGTTGGGTCTGTTTAGAGAAGATACATTTAACATCAAAACATGATAGTATGATAATATAGACAGTTTAGAATTTCCCTTCTCTTTCCCAACTTACCTGTCCCAGGGCATCGGTGATGTTCTGTAGGAGCATCCATGCCTGTGAAGCGCAGGAGTCACTGAGTGGCCCTTTGCCCATCACTGGCAAACACTGACCGACTTGCCACATAGGACAGCTGAGCACCAGGAGCAGCAGGACAGAGGTGAAGTCTGGAAGAAGGTAATACACACAATCCCAATTAATCATACTTCCGCGGAGAATAAGCACTGTTCAGTCTGGTTTCATAATACTCACAGAGCTTGATGAGCGGCATCTTGGAAAAGTCTGTTGAGTTAAATTCTGAGTGATTCTGCTCCAGCATCCTGAGGTGTTTTATACTCTGAATTGATCAAGGGGACTTCCCCCCCTGGGCAAGCAATGCCTTCACACCTCTTTAAACTAAAAGTGCTAGGTCGAGGTCGTATGATTTCAGTGGTCAATTTGTTAGTGTTATGGTGAAACTGGAATTAACATAACCTCACAGAGTTGAAGACCCACATTTGTATTGTGAGCATAGAGCTTCATGTAAATGACTCAGAGGAGGCCTTAAGTCACCAAACACAGTGACTCATAGCTGACCACATTTGTGGCAAAAAAAAATGCTCAGTGATGACAAAATTCATTGCATCATTAAACAAAAAAGTATCAATTTTACTTTTAAATATTAAAAAAGAAAGTTAGAAAGTTTTTTAGATATAGTTAGTGTTAGTGTTTAATGAAAAAACACATCAGTTTTGAATATTTAGTAAAAGAGAGCAGATTTATTATAATTCTTAAATTTGCCCACTTCTAGCCCTCACATTACTGCATCACGTTAATTAAGGTCTTATTATTCTTTTACGTTTTCTGACTTTTCCCAAACCCTTTTTAAATTGAGGGGAAATGGTTTGTCATGCTAATGAGAATTAAAGGCATTGTGAACACAGTATTTCAACGAGAACCGTTTGATATTTCCCCCCCTTATGACATAGCAACTTATGTTATAAAATCTGACAAGTTTTTAGATCAACATAGTGTTATTTTTTTTAGCTTAGTCAGAGCTGTTCCCCATGTTCCCCTTTTGCTGGTGGTACTCCCAAGTGTATGTGTCAAAAACAGTGTGAATTTGTGAATTAGTAGCGAAACTTAGCCTGCAGCTTTTACTATACGTATTTTAAAAAGTACCAGAGGATGTGATGTCTATATTACGTAACATGGGCTCTTCTTCATAATGTGAACTTTTGGGAATCATTACAATGCTAGTTTTGATCAACTTAAGCCAAATATAAACAAATTAGAGTCAGACACTCAAAACATTTTTTCTGGATTTATTTTAGAATCATAATACAGTATGATATCAACTAAGCAGACAATAGAAAGTTTCACCTTGCATGAAATTACATTCGTAAAAAGCTGAGTGTGGAAACACAGAAACACATCAAGGCATGTTTTTCTTCCTTTAAGTACACAATCTTGCCGGCTACGTAGAGACTCTCCCAAAACTTTTTGAACAGTTAAAATATATTATGCTTCAACAATTATTTAGCGATATATGTAATTTCTAGTTTTGTCTTCAGTATCAATAAATTAAGCATAAGAAAAAGACAATTACATTGCATATTTCTGTGAAGAGGCTGCTTATTCTAAGATGCCACCATCTTATCATTTTTTATCTTTGACCTAAAAACATTACCAAAAAAAAGCAGCAGCTGTAATGATTTAAATAAATCATATATATATGATCATTTCTATATGACAACCGCAAACATATTAAATTCCTGCAGTGGATTCCAGTGAAAAATTGTGATATGACAGTGCTCCCAGTGAAACAAATGATACACCACAGGTGATGTGGACACATCAATTAGTGAGCAGGTTGATCATTATAAACTGAGGTAAACAAAGCATCATTTTTTTCAGGTTATTATAGGACAAATCCATTTGAAGAGCTCATGATTTGCTCTGATACAAGGAGAAAGGAGCTTTCCAGAGCACTTCCAGTAATGACTTCATTGTGCAAAGTTCACTGATTACTAAATAAAGTTTCACGCATTTAATTGAATTACGAGGATTCCCCTAATTCTCAGAGGTCTGGCGTGATTAATCACGCTGAGTAGATGGGAAAAGCCAGAAGAAACTAATCTCCATCCATACCGAAATCAGTAATGGTCATCCTTTTAGGCTTGTTTTGGGCTTTCTTAGACAGCGTCATGTGGTGCAACATATCATGGGTGTGTTAATACTATGTACTGTAAGTGGCTCTCCAGACATGGTTAGCACAGATGGAGTTTTAATAGCAACACTATAACAGTCCATGTAGTGGGTGGGGTCCGACGACGTGCAGACAGACACGTTTATTTAGACTCAGCTTTTTCCACATGGTGCCTCTGATGGCTATGTGCGTGCCTATCAATGAGAAAGACAAGTATGTTAGAGTGAGCGGATTCAGTAGAACTTGTGGAGACTACTCTTTGCCGAATATAGGCGATCGTCACTTTACCTGGTCAGGTCTTCTATGTCCACCAGCATGGCATCCTGCTCCACATGGAGCTCATCCCTCATCAGCAGCAACTGCACCAGCTCTTCATTTAGACCTGTTTTGGATTACAGATGCTGTTAATTAATTATTTGGTCAATGTAAAAATAAAAGGAAAGTGGAGGACACCTTACAAGCCTCATCATTGAAAAATGATTGACAATTATGCTTTAAATTCATAATCAACTTTACTTTTCAGAATATAAATTCAAGTGTATTTAAGTTTAATTTATCAGTTGTTTAGTCTGCTTAAACTATCTCAAGATAGCTTTTGTGCATGACAGAAAGACCTCCTTACTTCAACAACTAAAACATAACGTATGAAGATAAAGACACAATGGTTTGCCACTAAAGAGAGGTAGATGATGGAACTCTGGTGTTTGTGTTTATCAGCTGCTTGCAGTCATGTTTGTGTCATACATGTATGTAGGTCATCTACTCACTCTGAATCTGTGAGTGAAAGTCATTTGTAATGACTTGCAGCTGTCCAAGACTCATGTCTCTCATATCCCCGCGTCTCAGATTCCTCTTCATTAACCCCTCACTGATGTGAGGCAGATGGGGGAGCTGGGTGAACACACGGAAAAGGAATCACTCCGTGGCCAGATGTATAAAATGGCTTTGAAAATGTTTTCAGCTTTGATTGGACAAATTGACATCACTTGTTTTTATTAGTTTCAGGGGCTTTCTCTTATGTTGCACAGACACACACTCACAAACACACACACACACACACACACAAGTCTGACCACTGGCATTCTGTTGAGGCCTTGCAATTCCCTTAGGTCATGTTTATTGTGGTATGTTTTACCGTAAGATTAACTCACAGTCATTCGATGCTCACTTTATTTCCCCTTCTATATTTCAAACCGACTTGTTATTGTCTTAATCTCTTCCTTCGCTGGGTTCAAGCGCTCCACAAAAAGATCCCCAGTTCTCTTTCTCTTTTACTAACCAGGTCAGCCACTGGCGAACGTCTGTGCAGCTGGATTTGCCTCTCCACCTCCACCTGCATGCGGGCCATGGGTCGAGCCAGAGCCAGTGCCACCCGGGCCTCCTCCTGTAGCCTTCGCTGCACCCTCCAGAACCCCCCGCAGTCATCCAACGGGTCCGAGTCCTCCTCTGCAGTGTCTCGGTCCGACAGCGACGAGCTCTGCTTGCTCTGCACAGGAAGTGAAGTGACCGATACCATGATGCAACGGCCGGCGCGTTTATCTTTGATGTGGTTATTGTCCGTGACACAAGTATGACTGCGTGCCGGGGCATACCACGGGTGACAGCGGTGTGTCGAGACTGGTTTCTGTCCTGCTGTCCTCGGCGTCGCTGTCTTTGTCACTGCTGCTGTCATTGACGAAACACACCTGCAGGTTGACGCCACTCTGCAGCCTGACGGGACACAAACTTTTGTTTAGAAGTTCGAATAAAACTGATGGATCAGAGGGGAAATTACTTTTCGTTTAACACACTTTTGGTTTTGACATAAACACATAATTCAGACTAAAAAGTCTTAGTGAGACAGGATCATCCCCCCAAAAGGTCTGAATGTCATATCTTTCACAGCAGTAACAGAGAAGCATTGGAAACCTAAACCACAGCTTTTCCAAGTGCTCAAAAAGCCATTCATTCAATTCCACATCATGATACTGCAGCTGAAAGAGCAATTACATTTGTATTTAAATAAAGAATGGAATTCCATTCTGCCAGCATATTCAAAGTGGATGATAAAACAATAATCACACACAGGTATAATTTACTATTTGTTTTAGATGTTTTGTTGTAAGTTTGGTCATTGTCTGCTGCTTTCTTATTCATGTACCAGATTCCAAGAGAAATAAACATTCCAAGGGAACTTACCAAGATCTTGGCAATGAAATTTGTACAAAAAACTGTTTGATCCAGTGCAAAGGTTTATTAGTGTTTCTGACGTACAGATATTGTGTTTTTGAAGCTGCATTGCATTTTCAACTTTCTGATGTTTGCTTCCCCATTTCAATCCAATTGACAAAACGTTTTTACTTGTGACAAACAGTGACAAAATCAATTATTGTAATGTCTGCAAAATCTAAATCAACATTACTATTTGTCTTATTAAAAAATAATTTAGAAGTAGCCAATTAGATTTTGTCTTTAAAATGAAATGCCGCTTGATGAGAAATACTTCGAGGTGCTCCGAAGAAGCAGTATAAAACAAAACTGAAAATATCAACACATCAAAAGCAAGCAACATAATGTCATATCCCTCACATCAATTACACAGCAGCTTTGGAAACCTAAACCACAGCTTTTCCATGTGCTCAAAAGGCCATTCATTCAATTCCCCATCATGATACTGCAGCTGAAAGAGCTTCATAAAATAAACAATAACTTATACATCCCACTAACTGGACAGGGTGATTCTGGAATTTCCAGACAAAGCAAAGCAACGGAGCATGCACCTTACATCAGGGATCACTTCTGCTTTCAAGTGCAGAGAACTACGTTGTGTGGGTGGTGATCCCTTTACTCTATGTAAATTCTCATGTGTAAGTAATCTATTACACTTACACATAAACACACACACACACATATATATATATTGATATATATAAATACACACATATATATATATGTAAATGGACGTCTGGCTTTGAAAGGTGTGGAAAATGCTAACTTGGAATAGAAATTCTCATATACTTCTTATTCTTAGTATGCTCCACACTTTCATAAACCAGATGGAGCAAAACAAGGGAAATCCACACCTCCACAAATTTGGGATTTAATACGAAATGCTACGACTGGATTCAGTGGAAGATGCATCACCTAAGCAGAGACTCCAAACTACACCATGCCATAGTTTCTTTCTCAGCAAAATGTCATGCAATGAGGTTAACCACTGTGACATTTGGCATTGTGCCAGCTTTCTCCCGCTGCTGGGGGTACTCTAGGTCAGTTTGTTGATTCTTCTTCTACATATTCGTCTTCTTCCCTGCCCTATAAAGCATGGGTGGCTTACCAAAAAGCATTTTTATTTTTCGTCTATTCTAAGTGCCTCACATTTTCTGTTGTCAAGGAGAACATAAAGACACATGACAGTTTTATTGTGCTTCTGTTTTTCGAACAACGTAGTTCCGTTCTGTTCTTTAGATGCTTTTTCTGAGTCGTCTGGGATATGTGCTGCAATTTTCAATCAACATATAGAAGCCAACAATCCAAATGTTTTAATTGAGAGATAATGAAAGCAAAGCTGCAAAATAGCTCCCTCTCCTGGTCTTGAACATTTTTTTAGATCATTTTATTCCGTTTCATTGTCAATTACAGATTAATGTTTAATTTCATATTTTACAGCAGCCTCAAACACAAACCATGACCAACTCATTTCATGGCCACAATTTTTGGTGTTTAAAAAAACAACTTTTTATCTTTCATACATTTTGTGATTAAATCTCATCAGTTTTTCACATTAGGTACACATGTTGGGCAAATATCCGTGTAGTTCTTGTACAAGCTGTATATATTGTGTATAAACAAGAGGATATTATTGTTTTTCTGTCATCCATCCAAGGTATATATTGAATGAATAAAAGATTGAAAAACTAGGGATATGCTGGCGGCAGGTACACAACACCATGATATTGATGTCGCCTTCAAAGGACTGGTTGATCAAACCCTGAAAATCACATGCACACACATAGGGTTCAAACCTACCGGGAGGATGGGCTGTTCTTGCTGCAGCTGGTGTAGATGACTGGCTCGTCGTCATAGTAACTGCCAAGGGCAAGTTTCTGCCTGATTGACTCCCTGTCGTTTCTCTGAGCCTGCCAAAAAGCAATATACTTACATGAATACATAGAATATAATCAAAAGTGCTGCTCCTGCACTGCAGCCTTCACTTGATAAGCTAACTGGGCCACCTACTGGCAGCAGTACCAACAAGTGGATCAGTGCCAGGTAACTCTCAGGATCCAAAGTGTGTCTTTGTCGTTTTTTACTACACAATAAGGTTTTCTAACTGTAATTATTGTATTCAGCTCATTTTTGGCAAAATCAGGTTTCCCCTCAGAGAAATTATGTCTCTGAAGTACATGTAAGTGTAAGTGCTTTTAGCCGGTGTTTTTGTGTTAGCCTCATGATCAAATTACTATTTTTCCAAGTTGTTTAATTCTAGGCTCAAGCGTCCTTGGTAAACTACAGCTCTCATGGGAGTAGAATAAAAAAGGACTAATCAACTCATCTGGTTCACCTGAAGAAGTTTGCCTTTTTGGATGATGACATTTCACTTACATAGTTTTTTATTATATACAGGACATCTGTTTATTTCAACACATGGATAAAACTACAAAAAATAACCGCATATCTCCAGTTATGTTATCTTTTGTTTCACTGGTTTGTCCATTTATATTTCATCATCAGGGCAGGAACTGTTATCTAAAATCAAATGGGATATTTCCTTCCATCCCTGTTGCTGGTTTAAAATGCTAAGTCATTTGGAACAATTTTCACCATCTCCAGTAGGTGGCAAATCTCTTTTGACTGATAAATTACAACTAATGCCTAAACTCTTCCGTTTTATCTTAATATTTACTTGTCCCTAGTATTATGTTAATGCCTCCACATACCTTCTCTGGGTATTGTGCTTGGATCTCCATTTTTCCTTGAAAAAGCTATCATTTTTCTCTGTTTTTGCTTTGTAACTGTCCATACATCCATTTTCTTATATCTAAAATGTTCACTTTATTGCTCCCCCATGATTCTGAGCAATATCAATTATAATGATTATCTATTTTCCTGAGAAGAAAAAAATACTTGATACTGAATTAACTGACAACACATCTGTTCTTTTGGCAAAGCCACTGAGTAACACCTCTTGAAAATGTGTCTCTGAGTCAGACCCTTTAACCAACACACATACGTACATCCTCTGTTGTGACGCATTATCAGATGAGGATGTGACGTAAAAGACCAAATCAGTCTTTACTCTCTAAAACAATTAACTGCATCCTCACCCACCTCCTCTCTCAAGGCTGTCGACACACATGCATACAAATATAGACACAGCCTATTCCAACCCTCCAAAATAAACTATAGTATGTTGTGTAAAATACTAAAGAATACAACTCAAATGACAGTTTATGTAGAATTACACGGTTATTTCACCAAGCACAGCAGACTGTTTGACTGTATTTTTCAGTAAAAGGCTTCAATTTCCAATGAGAATATGTTTAAATACAGATGTGCCACATGCCATCGTACAGGAATACACCCACTCCCTGTTCTCACATTCACTGATCCAGTATGGCTGACTGTCTCCTTCACATCCATGATGGATATCTCTCCCACATACCTGTTTATATTATCTCACATATGCTACACCCTCAGGATTACACACACCAGCATGAAAACAGAGCCACACACCTGGTAAACGCGTTTCTCCTGGTGCACCATCCTTTCAGCGCATCGTACTATAACAGCCGTCCTGCCCTCCTCTACACTGCAGTAAAGCTAGACTCTGGAGACCCTCTCATATACTGCAGGTCCGTGCAGGAGAGGAAAGCGGGGGTTGGATGGAGGGAGGGAGGGAGGGAGGGAGGGAAGCAGGGCGGGAGGGTGGAGAGAGTTTAGAGAGTGGGGAGGGGAGAGGCAGCAGGGAAAGGAGATGGGGGAGTGATGAGGAAAGAGTGGGAAGGGATGCAAGCAGAGGAGGAGATAGAAAGGGAGGAGGGAAGGGAGAGAGAGCCGCTCAGTTCTGCTACTGCTTCCCTGTGCCTGTCTGCTTTCTGTCCCGACTTCTCTCCACCTCCATCTTTATTCTACTTTAAAGGAGGAAAGGAGAACGTAATTCTTAGAAGTTGTACATTTTTTCAGAATTGAGGGCAGATGATGAGTTGCAGTATAAATGAGGTGGGGTTAAGAATCCTGGTGATAGGATTGAGAATGCCATACTGGAAGGCAAAACAACTAATCAAGCCACAACTGATTTGTAAAAAGGCCTCAAACTGCCCTTGAAGCATCACAGACACGACATCCACGTCCGATTTCAAGAACCACGAGACATAAAAGGAATGAGAAGCAGATGCGGCATGTGCCCACATATGCAGACACTCAAAAATACACACATCTCCCACAATGCTGTGTCACAGCCAGGGAGAGGGCTCATGAAACAACATTCTGAGTCATATCTCATCTCCCATCAGCATGCAGCTAAATTTGCCATGCCCATAGCAGGAATTACTTGAGGCAAGGGATGTAGCATTGTAATTATTATTTGTCTCTACATTTATATAAGAAACGGTTACACAACAACACGGCTGCTGTGTACATAGTTTCTATTAGGATTTATTTGCACATTTTGAATATCTTTATTTTCAACTTGGACTTTTTTCTTTATTAAAGAACCTTTCCTTTGTCCTCAAATTGACTGAGATGTTTATTTTCTGTGTAACTTAACAACAGATTGGGATCCACTCACAGAGATGCTGGACAGCCTGGTTCGCCCTGCGCTGTAATAGTGTTCGGTCGATGGTAAAAAGATAGCCTGAAGCTCCTCGGCCCAACTGAGGCTGTTTACCATCCTGCCTCGTAATCCTCCGTGTTCACTTAAGTCACTTCTGCTATCACAGTCTTCACACCACTGGTGTGTCATGTCCTCCCTTGTGAACACTTCTTCTTCATCCATGTCCATAGTATACTCCTCCATAAAGAGATCTGTAAAGAGGATTAGTTCATTTTAGGGCTGGAAAATGGGAAAAGAGTTATAATATTTCCAGAGGAGTAAGGTAGAGCCTCTGGCTGAAAGTCTTTGGTTTTGCTGCATTTAGTTAACGCAGTTTTTGGTAGCATGAACCATATTAATAAAATTGCAAGAGGACTTTTAGCTTGATGATCTGGTTAAACTCTATTTCCCATCGATACTTTATGCTTAGAATATTTCAGTCTTTGGTCATACATTAGTCTTAAAAAACAGTTAAAAACAATTCTAACACATTCAGTGCTAAATGCTTCAGTTGTTCATTAGTTGTAAAACAAAAAGTCAGATTACGTACAGACTCACCTTATTAGTCAGATGAGAAAACTCCTTAATATGACTGGAAAGATTAAAATATTTCCGTTATTGCCTAATTTGATATGGGCACATGCCGAAAAGGAATTTGACAGGATTTTTAGCTCCCAGAACAGATATAAAGCTCTGTGCCCAACAAAGACTGAAGGTTTGCTAAGAGAGAAACATGTAGAGGAGATTCTCTGGATTCAGCTAGCAGTGTTACACATCTCCTAAGAGTCACGTGTGGCTCAGTTGCAGTGATGTGTGTAGAATTGCTCGTGCATGCGCACTGTTTGAGGGTGCCCGAGGGAGCGAGAGCACCAAGTGGAAATATAAGAACAGACAGAATGGGGTGTTGGCATCTTAGAGTGTAGGGGGCAGTGAGTTTCAAATGACTAACGTACCATTAGAAACTACTGCAATTACTGTGAGCCAACAGGAAAGTGTATTATCAGTCAAATTCGTTGAATTATGTCAACATGCCAGTTAATGGTGTATCACTCTAAATAGATCATACTAATAAAAAAATCCTTTAGGTGTTTTAGCTTTGCACACTTAAATGTGAAGATGATAAATGGAAGACAGCTGACCTGTAAACACTTAAAAATCTGAATGAACCCAAATAGAATACAAATTTTGGATGTTTGTTAGGACTGGGATTGACTCCAGTTTTAAACTTTACTAGTATTCCTATAGGTTCACTGACTTAAAAAAAGAGGCCCATAACACTGAAATTAATTCATGGTGGTCAGAAGGTACACGGAGCCCTATAAATGGGGAAAAAGGTGCCTTTTATGCTCATGCAGATCTTAATGTCTCTCACAGCACAAGACTACATGAGTTTAAATGGACCCAAAGCAAAAAGAGAGCCAGTCCAACGTAAAACCTATTCTATTGAACACTCAGCATTATCGGCAGCCTTTGAGAAAAACAAGACAGTTACAGAAAGGTCAAACTTGAAATGCCATTTTAATGCAAGTCTCACCCCTTATCTCACATTGTTAAAATACAAAACGCAGAAAAACAATGCTTTAAAACCCAGGATGTAGTTTTTCAACCAGTGTGGTTGGGATAGAAAATGAGCTGGTGCTAGTTTATTCCCTCAGTTTCTTCTTCCCTTTTTTAAATAAAATGTTTGAAAAGGTAACCTAGTGATTGGTTTAAGTGCTTTCAGAGTATACAGTGCAAGCTTATTTTAATGTGTAGCTTTCTGGGGTCTATACAATTTTTCCATAAACACTTCTAATGAGAAACATTAGACCGTCTAAGCAGTTGTGCTGGTTTCAACTGAATGCAGTATGCATCAATAGGGGGAAATAGTTTTTCAAAATGTAAGGATTGACAGGACCTATAACTGGCGATGGTTTCACAGGGTTAGAAGAATTCATACAAGTTGCAGGTTGGATCAAAACTGGGTAAAGCTGTGCATGTAATGCTAATTATAGCCTTACCCCAGCTCACTGCCAACATTTCCCTTTCCAAAAGGGAATTCTGAAGTAAGCCCTTCACCTGGGTTAAAGCATTTCCATCTTTTAAAGTTCACCAGATGCCTCTGCAGCACATTATCTCAGCCAACACTTTTGGCATTTAGACCAAGATTTAAACTTAAAGCCCACTTTCCACTTGGAACACTGGATTTCAATAAGTACTTTGTAAGTAATTCACATCAGTATGTAAACTTGTTCAAAATCTTTATTGTAACAGTTTCAGCCTGGTAAATGATGAGGCATTTGTTGCATATATAAATAGTTGTATGGAAGAAAAGGTACGTGTGCAGGTGGATACAGATGGGACATATCTGCTGGTGACTGGATACCTGTAGATGGAGCTGCTGGTGGCTTCATTTCTGGCACTGAAACCCATGAAGTTTGCATCTGGGGAACGGGCACGTTTGGAAAATGGGGTCCAAAAGGCCAAGCAAAGTGGGGGTAGTAAGGCATCTGTGGATGAGTCATAACATTGGGGACAGCAGTGGTGGTTTGTTGAGCTGCTGGAGGAACAAACGAGTAAAACTGCTGAGAATAAGGAGGGTATTTAGGAAATTTAGACACGTGTGCTTGTTCTGCTGCAGCCGATAAGATGCGATAAAGCAGTGGGTTTGAGAAGAAACTTTTATCAGGCAGTGGCACCATGTGAACTTGAGGCTCCTGTGGCAGTGCGTGAACCTGCGGCTCCTGTTGAACTGGGGGAACTCGCGGCTCCTGCGTGGCTTGGGGCGCTGGGTAACCTTGCGGCTCTTGGGGCACCGGGTAACTTTGCGGCTCTTGGGGCGCTGGGTAACTTTGCGGCTCTCGGGGCACCGGGTAACCTTGCGAGTCTTGGGGCACCAGGTAACCTTGCGGCTCTCGGGGCACCGGGTAACCTTGCGAGTCTTGGGGCACCGGGTAACCTTGCGAGTCCCGGGGCACAGTATAAACATTTGGGTTCTGGTTACCTTGGGGCACGAAGTGCATATGCCGGCCCTGAGAAGCTGCATGAGACTGAGGATCCTGGGGCTTGTGAGACCATTGATGTTTATGGGGCCACAGGTACTTGTGAAGCCACTGCACAGGGGACTTGGGAGCAGCAGGTGTTGTATGGTCGGGACACATGAGCGAGACAGGATTTCCGTGCCACTGGAGAGGTAGCATGTAATTTCCATCCTAGAACACATGTTAATTACCATCTTCAGTTTAGTTAAACTTTTGACAGTCACATCTCCATTGGCTTCTTTATATTCCCACACTAAAATGGAGCCCTTAGATATAGTTACCCGTTTAACCATATTGCAGCCATCATATGGAACAGTCATTACAAGTACCATGGAGTTGCCATGCATGTTGTAGCCACAATTGCGGGGAACCATGGACAATGGTTGTACGGAATCCGCTGAGAGAATAAAGCAGGAGTTAGCATTACATCATTGTTGCAGTGTTAGTTTAACTCACCGAGCCTTGTGACTACCTTGTTCAACTGCGAGCTCTGAAGCTCCTTGTCCGAGGGATCTGAACTTCATGTGATCTCCAAAACAATGCAGAGAGGTTGCCAAGCGGTTCCATTTGTCTTTGGCTGCTGCATCTTCCATGTCAGGATTGGACCAGCCTGTCAGTGCAGATGAATGCTTAATCCATTGTTTAGCAATAAGGATAAATTACTCCAAGCCAACCAAACTAGTTAAGGCTAGTGACTAAAGGTTTTCCCATTAACTAAGCAAATCACCTTGCATAATATAAACCCACTATTTACCCGTTAACCAATTACCATATATGCCATACATGTACAGAATTAGCCATTATCCTCGGGAGGCATTACTGCCCCTTGATTCTAAACCCTGTTTAGAAATCATAAGCCCGCATATAGAGTTACATTACAGCTATGCAAGTTTTAAACATAAGTCATCCTTGCCCCTTTATTAGCCATCATGTGCAAACCTGCAGAATCTGCTTGATAAGCAGTTTCATCCTCCACAGAAGCGTTGGTGGAGGATTTCGTGGTCTTATCTACGACCTGCGACCTTTTCCGAAAAACTTTCCCGAACACGATTTTCCCCTCTTGGACACCTATTGAAGTGGCAGCGCCGTTCTCCTTCTGCGTGGCTCGTTTTTCAGTTTTCTTTAGACGAAGGCAGTCTGTCACTTGCACCAAGTAACACATCAGAATCACGGCGGCTGCCCAGCAAACAATGGCACTTCTCATTTTTTCTTTACGCATCTTTGAGCTGTGCGTACCTCCTGAACACGAAGCGGACCGTGGCTTCGTCCCAGCTATTTAGCATATAATGTCAGACAGCAGTAGAGTCCGCTGGTGGTGCAACAATCAGTCAAATCCTGCGACAGGTGTGGGTCCTTAATTATCTGGGATTGGTTACAGCTGGGTACAACGCCAAAAATGGTCTGAGGCCAAATCATGACGTCATTTCGCCATTCGACAACATTGTTAATGGGTCAGGAGTTCATCACAGGTTTGAGGCAAAGCAACATGGAAACAGTGTCAGCCAGCCACAACCTAACCTTTCTATGCATTCAGCACAGACCATCACACTAATTCCAGATAATTTCTTCCCTGACTCATATTGATAAGACTATAAACTTATTTACTCAAATCTTGCTTCTAGTGTCAGCGAAAAATCTTAAAGCAATCCAGCAATTGCTCAGTGTTTCATCATGATTTGATCGTTAATGTCAACAGGGATAAACAGTAGGAAGACTTTAAACTAAGATTATTATTTCAGCTTCTTGTCCCCAAATACAACTTCTGTTTCCTCAAATGCATTTAGAAAACAATACATTTTAGGCGTCACAAACTTTCCTTTCTCAATAAATCAATTTTTTAATAAGAGATAATACTGCCCCATGCTGGTCTAACTGTAGTCCAACAGCCAGTGCCAGCTTAATAGCATCCATCTACATACAGAATGTATTATAACAACACAAGTGTAATTACATTGCAACAAATCAGTTCACTTTTTGTATTTTTGTGTTCTCTAGAGGGGCTGTTTTCTCCAGAAGTATTATCCATATGGGAGGACATTTCTCAGTTTTTCCTGGTGAATCTGCTCCTGTCTTGTATCCACTCCTATGGAAAATATAGAGAGGCCCTTTTGATTTATCTCATATATCAATTTTCACAGTAAAATAAAACAAGATGCAGAAGTAACAAGGCTTGCTTCTTTGAACAATGAACTAATGATATACAGCACATATAATTTGTTACTGACTCTATGTGCGGTGAGAAGTGCTCCATAGTGCCTGCTCCCATCCTTCCCACCATGGTTACGGTTATTCCTCCGGCATTCTTGCTCCCGTTGATGTGGTTACCGCACAAAACGGAAGAGTCTGCATTGTATTTGATGGCCAGAGTGCTCCCAGTCAGCCGATCAGAGCAGTGTTCCAGTCTGACGGAAGGGCAGTGTTATCACAGTGATGGAAATATATGGTGAAAATGTTTCTGTGGGACTATGTTTTTTTCCCCCGTGTTTCAAACATCTGATTGAATCATTACTCAGAACAAATGAAAATGCCTTTTCATGCCTTTTGTATAATATTCTAGACTTATGTGGATATAGTCGATGGCAGCGATGCATATATTTGTGTCCACAATACAGGCTGGCCTTAAGCAGGTCAGGTGGTCAGTGTCTGAATATGCAGGGTCAAGGTCTTACCAGTGGAGCTGGGGCAGTGCAAGCCTAATGCCTACTCCGTTCCACCCCATCTTCCTGTCCCTAAACAAAGAGTTGGAGTCAGAGTCCTGGGAAACAAGAAAGTGTTTGTGTCCTTTTTGGCAAAAGGCCAGCAAACAAAGTTCAATGTGGGTAGCTGCTGTTCTCCGGTAAGAATTTGTACCATTATTGACATGTTTCAGTTTAAGTAAAGAAAAAACAGCTTTATTTGAATTCCAACTGTACTCTGTAAATTCAGAGCTAGGCTCCATTTTGACCACTGCATTCCTTTTTTTTTTTGCTATTATATATTGGGAGAGTACTTAATTGATTTGAACTATTCTGCTCGCAAGGGGAACAAAAAACACCTGGACTGTGATCATCAGTTCTGAAGGAGGAGCCGAGTGTGTTAGTTGCAAAGATAAGGATCCACATGACAATTCCGCAGCTTCACTGGTGCCTGAAGACGCCGCTCCCACGCCGAGAGGCGAAGCTGCTGCCCAGATGCTTCTGATCAGTGCTGATGTAATGCTGACTGACGGCGACACCGGGTTCATCCACAGATACCTGAAGGACTACTGATGCATGTTGAAGTGTATCATCAGCTGTGAGATTCCGAGTTGTGTATACATTACAATGGCCGTTGCTGAAACAGATCTGAACCAGCTGTATGTTTAGATCTGACAATATACTCATGCCTGATCTAGTTTGCATCATCTGATTAAATAAGGCCTGAAGACTTCCTAATCACATTATCTTAAGCAGATATCCAGTCAGTCTGCTTTAGTTTCCAAGCCATTTGGACGACTTTACTCGTCAGCAGGGTTTGAAAGAAGGCTTTCCATATGGGAGTTCAACATTTCATAGCTATTCATTTATAGAATAAGTAAAGTATTTGACATATCTCTGTGATTTACTAAATGAGTATTTAGAGCCTATGTGGAGTAAAAATATTAGCAGCACAAGAAGACCAAGATGATTTCTTGTGATTATTAACCCAAATGATGGCTTCCTGAGGTCTACCAACGGCAGCAGAACCCCACACAATGCCAACAGCTCCGCCATTTTGCCACAAGAAAAAGGAACCAGCGAATTCTGAATCATGGTAGTTTTTACAAAATCACTTCTTGACATTGATGCGCTTTTAGCCGACGTGTATCGTAAGCTCTGACTTTGTTTACCCAAGTACAAGTTGACTGTTCCGACTGTTGACACTTTGCCCGGCGTCCACGGCCTTCTGACAGTTGACTCATTTCCACTGACATTAATCAGGAGACTTCAACACCACAGCTTCGCAGTTAAATAGTTACTATAAGTTTTATTAATCACCTTACTCCAAGGCAAGTAAATATAAAAATTATTCAGAAATCATCCCAAGACACATTTTCCAAATATCTTTTTCACAACAGTGACAAATTGTAAGTGTTGTATTTTTCTACATAATTAACTACGTTTTCGAACAATGAACTTAGAATTCTACATATGGCTCAGCAGTACAAATGAGACAATTCTTATATTCACATAGATCAGTTATATGCTGTTAATGACTAAAATAACCCATGTTTAAGCTCTCTTTAGTGGACCACTAATTGCTTGGATGAAATCGGCAGTAATATAAACAGAAAGAAAATAGTTGGCCATCAGTGTTGCCATGGATCCCGCTCTGGCGTCGGGGGCAGGACTTCTCTTCTGAGCGTGGTGAGGAGTGATTGAGACATCCAGTCTGTGCTAGCAGTTTTCCTGCCTTCAGCACAGACATTCATAAACATCACCTCACAGCCCAGTGAGAGACCCACCTCAAACCTAGACAACGAGAGAGCCAAGGCGGACTTAATAAATTCACCTCTGATCAAAATGGAGTCCATATAAAATTTTAGTCCTTCACCGTTCCTCTTCTGATGTACTTACATGGAGGGGCTTTCAGCTCTAGCCGGGAATCGAAAAGTAGGGTTAAGAGTGGTGGTGTGGCTTTGTGTTCATGTGGACGTTCATCTTCATCTCATTGTCCAGAATTTGCACAAGCTGCTGCATGGAAGGCAGGTGACCCGACTCCAGTTTGGACCAAACTGGTACATCTATAAAATAAGACGTTCTCATCAAGATACAACATGGCACATTTTAAAAATCTGAAATAAAATAATTCCTTACAAGAGGGGAAACTAATGGGTCCAAATGTACACTACATATGCTATATAAGCCCCCAAAAAAACAAAAGCTCACCATTTAATGTGATTTCAAAAGCTCCCGTCGACATCAACTGGTTTTCGATCATATTGCTGAAGAAGAACACCATCATGCAGGCATATATCTGTGAGAGGGAAGGAGATCAGTGAGAAGCTTTGAACATGGAATTATTTTATTGCACTGTACAGCTTGCTTGTGGAGGGAAAAGGAAGCCGTGCTACAATGTAAACTTCAGGGACTGGACCCGGCCCCGTTGTAGCATCACTAGGATTTATTGTTCCTTTTCTTTACCCAATACCAATTACCTCTTACCTTGATTAATATAGAGTATAAAACACTACATCAGGTAACCAGCAGACATTCCTTAAACTAATCGTTTTAAGCCTATGGGTCACTAGTTCCCCACAATTAACTGTTGCTCAGAGAAACAACTTCACATCTAAAGACAGCTGACTACTCAGACCTGAAATGACTCAACAGTTGAAAACAATTACATTGAACAACATGTTTACATCTATGACCCCATCCTGACTAAAAACGACACACGCATGACTGAAAATGCCCCCCTTTAAAACCACTTTAGCTTATGTGTTAAGCTGCTTCAACAAGTGAACTCAGAATCTTCTTTGAAGCATATTTAATTTATTCAGTCAATACAAACAGAAAGTGTTGGTTCATATTACATGGACTGAAAACAGCAGAAAGAACTGTTTTTTTTCCATACATACACCCAAACACATACATCTAAAGGCTTGCATTATGATTGGCTAAATGAATGACACATGCCATATTTTAGTATAGTTAGTTTGCTTTATAATCTATGGCGTTTGCCTTTAAAAGACAGCCATTTCAGACATTTCAAAAACCCTGCACACGAGACAAGACTTATGTGCAGGGATTATTCTCTGTGGTTTCCCACCAGGCCACTTGTGGGAAAACACCGTCTGCCAGCTGGTGTTTCCCAGTAGGTCATGTCAGAGGGGTCAGACTTCTTCTTTTTTTCTTTTTTACAAACTTCACAAACAGTTTTTTATTTCCTGGTTTTCGCTCGTTTCAAGCTGGCATATTTGACTACGTTTCATTCCTCTGAGCTCTCGTTAAAGCTGTCGAGAGTGGATTTGAGCTAGTGGGATGTAGGCACAAAAAGCTCCTTACTTGTTGATGGGATTACAAGTGCAAGGTCTGGCACGGTCAGATTTAGTTTTCCCAGCCATTAAAATAATTCATTTACTAAAAATCTAAACAAAAAAAAAATCCTAAATTATTTTTTGGACATGATTGAACAGTCAAGCTAAAATATTACCAAAAGGAAAATCTGAGTGAAAAGTCACTCAAGAGATCTTAACTTTAAAATAATTCTAGGAACCTTTACCTTATTTCCTTGGCTCCACTCCCAGATACCTGGGGCTTGCATGCCAACAAAAGCAAAAGGGTCCTTGCCAACAATAATCAGCCCGATCACCAGCAGCTTGAACATTGATAGAAAGGAGGCAACGTGTCTGGGGTAAAAAAAAAAAAAACAAAAAGAGAAAGCAAGAAAAAAGATTAGGATGCAGTACAAACAAAACACTCGTACAGGAGTAACAAAACTACATTATTCCACAGGTTATGGTTATGTTCAAGGAACTTTCGGTGCATTGTGATTTAAGTGAGCCGTTCATATGGAAAAAAATTTACCCAAAATATCACGTTTTCAAAACAGAAACCATACAAGTGTTAGAAGAATCTGCATTTAATGACATCTTCTCATTTTGTATTGTGTCTAACGTTTAACCCAGAGAACAGGTTGAACCAAAGCCTATCAGGGGACACAATCATCAGCAATAGATAAACATTACAACTGAATGGAGACTTTGAAGCCTGTGATGCCTAACTGTCTCCTCTTTCTTAACATAGCTAATCTCTGGTGTGTTCATTAGGTATTCGCTAAATGAGGACCTGAGAGGCCCAGCAAGGGCGTATTTATTTAGAACACCCGAGACTGCAGAACAGAGGCTTCATACTTCTTCTAACCTTTCATCATCCAAATGCATCAGACTTAGAGTGAAAAAACAGTGAAACAGACAAAAAGGTTTCCTTGAGAAAATATGAGGTATCGTGTCTAGAAATGTGAAAAATGAGGTTGCCCAAATACCTCTATTTGTATTGTGTCTGTCTGGTGCAAACTAAAGCCGGATTTACTCACTTGATTAATTTTTGGCTGATAATACTACAAATATACAGTTGTTTGTAATAACTGCACGAGAATTTCACTTAATAAAAAATAAATAAAATATCAAGCAAATCCCAGACAGCTTTCAGACCGCTTTTAGAAAACTGGATAAAATCCAGTAGGAGAAAAGGCTGTCTTTCTCTCTTACCGATAGAGGGGAATGGGAAGATAATTCTCCCCTTCAATGCGGATGTCTGGGTACCGCTGGTACAAGGCCTGCGTGTACTCCTCAAACACCCGCTTGTACCCTCAGGAAATACTGTGTGAAGGGGAAAAAACAAACACCCAAAATAAAAATAGACATACAAATTATATTAAACCTGTTGGAATACAAAGTTTGGAAAGTAATTTGAAAAATAAAAAAAGGACTCAACCAGTGTTTGTAAAAATTCTTTACAGCGACAGAGGCACAGGGAGACTAAAACTACATTTAGATGACAAACACTTCCGGCTCATTTAATCTTGCGTGCTCGCGCGTTACTTCGCACAACCACATGACGTGCTTATTACAATCGTGTTTAAGATGAAACACATGCACTTGTTCACATAGCATCTAGCGTAGCACAGGCAAGAATGCTATCAGCTATTGTTTTCAGCGATTTGCAAAACCAGAAATAAAGTCTTCACAATTCGTTCAGACAAACTGTGTGCGGCGTGGATATTACATACACTTCATCTATAGGAACTGGGTGGTTCTTATGGGGCGCTCTTACACTAAATACATGCCGTGACAGCGGAAGTGGGGGCATTACATAAAACGGTTAAGAGTGGAACGTTCTACGAGTTTCTCTGGCAATTGTAGATCAAAACCCCTCATAAAGGACTATCGTTACGCGAGAGCTTAGTCTCTTGTGGTTAATATAAACAAACATTTCGACTTTAGGCCTGTAACGTTGCTAGCCGATTAGTTTAGCTAGCGCGCAATGACTCGCCAGATTTTCGCTCATCTGTTTACCAGATTTGGAATTTGAGAAGAGGTCCCGTGACAAACTGCATCTTCATCTTCTTCACGCCGCCGTTGTCACCAGATGTGGCGTAGCACAGCGAGAAGATCCCCAGGGCGAGGAAGGAAAACCGTAACCACTTCATTGCTAACGACTCCAGCCTTGGTTTCCTCTGAGCCGTGGAGGGGGGTTAAATCTGTGTCGTTGCCAGTTGGTCCCGCCTTTCCTTCTCACTCTACTCTCATTTTAAACAAAACAGTTAACGCCTGTACTGCCCCCTACTGTTCAAATACTTTTAGATATTCACAAAATTTAATCTTAGTTCTTTACCGTTCTCATTCATGACATGTAAACACGTGTTTCAATGGCAGTGTTCTTTCTCATTTAAGGAGAAAATGACAGAAAAACCCAAAATAATTTACAAAAAATATTATAGAAAATTTCCACTCAAGTCTGAGCAAGTCTTTCTAAAATTATTTAATATTTTCACGCATCCCCCAAAACCCTGAAGATGTTAAAATAGCTTAATTAAATGAAGCAAAGATAAATTGTAAAAGAAACGTAGCAAACTGATGCAAATAACAAATGTACTGTGGTTAGATCATTTGGCAGTCTTCGTACATTTAAAGTCCTCCAAGAGCAAAATTCACATAAATTCACTGTTCTTCACAATTTAAGTGTGATTTCTTGTGAAATACCTGCTAAAATAAATAGTGATAGAAACCTTTTGCATTTGAGAAATAAACTATTTGTCATTCTACTAATCTTTATGGGAACGTCAACAATTCAAAACAATGCAATTTTTGCTGTTCGAAAAGAAAGAAAATGCAAGAAAAACATTCATACCAAAAAGTGCTACATGCAACTGTACACCAGTTGGTTCTGAAGCTATGTTACACAAAACTACCAGTGGTAGCATTTCTTTTTCCATGAAATAGTGTTCCAACGCATTTTATTTGACACTGAAAAAATACAATAAAAACAAGGACAATAATCCAAACATCCTCTGGGTGAATTTTCAGTGGTTCAGCCTGGCATTCCGCTCCTGATCCACAGCAGACTGTAAAGCCAGAACCGTGTCTGGATGAAAAAAAAAAGCCTAAATGTAAAGAACTCTTGCATATTAATGTTTTTTTTCCATCATAACTTCCACCATTTATCGTGACAAAATAAAATATACCGGTATATACACTGTATCTGTTTTTTTTTCCAAACAAACTTTATCATGATTATTTTTCAATAAATCATGGCTGAAACTAAAAGAATCTAAAAAGATTATAGTTCACTAAAAGCTATGTTTGTACGAACCCATTAATTTCTTGGAATGATCCATCAGGTCTGGAAGCCCGGCCTCGATGTTGTATGAGATTTGTTCCATGTCTGTCACAAGTTCATTTGCCCTCTGAGGGGAGCAGGGATTAAAATATGTTAGATGTTTATTTAAGAATTGTTGTCATACAAACAGAATAAGGATATGGAAGCTGAAAGGAGCATACTACCTTGAGCACTGCATAAACTTTTTCCTCAAACTCTGCCACCTGCGATATGGCATCATACACACTGGTGTCCACTACAGTTTCCTAAGTTCCCCAAAATCAGACAAAATGGGGTCAAATAAACAAACATAAAAAATGATCTCCCAGACTTTAATTCCTTAAGATTTTGGACTTCTCTTTTTACTTAATACAGTACAAACATACCTCTTCAGACGAACTGTTTACAAGTTCCTGTGTCTTTGGTGCTCCACTGGCTTTAGAACTGCCTTTAAGTTCTTTCACTCTGTAAAAGGAGCAGAAAAATAAATACTCAGATCGGAAATGTGCTTTTAATAATAAAGTTAGAACTTCCATTACAAATAACGAAAGCATCGGTCATCGGGCTGTGAAATACCTGTCGGCATAACGTAGTGTATTCATAGTATATTCACATGAAGTCATGCCAGGAGACACCATGGCAATCTATGTGTAAATGGAACACAAGTTGTGCTCGTTTTAGATGAATCAGCATTACACACTGAAATAGAACCAGTTGAAAAGGCTAAACTGGGCCTCTGAACACTTTGATAAGCTGACATACCATGCAGGTCCTGGACTTTTCTCCAATGAAGGAATCCCGCAGCACTTTGGTTAAAGTGCTCATCCGGAAAGGAATGTGGTCACTGTTCATCCCCAGAGAACGAATACACTCCTACACGACACAGCAGTGGACACGTGAGTGTGTGGTTTGGTCAGCATTCTCTCAGGTAAAATGAATGCGTCTTAACTTTTGGGAAGCGCTTTGTGAGCACGAGGAAAGAAATCATTCTTCAGCTCATGGATTAGCCGTGAATACGTCATCGGCCATACTTTACCTTGAGAGCAAGCAGACTGCGGTTGATCTCGGCCGTCTCAACCAAAGTGCCGCGGTCATTGCTGCTGACGTCTGTGCCACGCTCGTTGCCAGCCAGATCCACCAGGGAAAACTTGCCATGCAGCGTGGTAGCGCGGTCGTTGCGCCGAAGCACAATCTGAAGGATGGCGTGAGAGCGTGATGAGTTGGCGTTGGCCGAGGTCTGGCCTGATGTTCTGGAGACAGGAGGGAGAGAACTTAAAGCGAGAAAAATAATTTCCCAGATCATCAAATGTCCAAATACAGGACATTATTGTTAGCTGTTGATTACAACTTTTGATGTGGTCTTCAATTACAAGTTGCACTTAAAAAGAAAAAAATGGTATCCTATCATGCACCATAGGAGTGCAACCTAAACATACTCAAAATGTATGTACCTGCAGGCACTGCCCATCTGTATGATCTTGATGACATCTTCTGTTGAGGACACGTAGACCTCCTCCAGCCCCACTACCTGAACCTGCTGCCGGTCATCTTCCAAGACACGGAGCTTAGCTTTCTTATTCAGCAGGTCATAAACCTTAAAAAATAAATAAATAAAATAAACACATTGAAAAATATATACATTTCCTACAGGAACAGCCTGACTTACGTCAGTCTTAAATGGTTTTTACTTACTTTGCCGTTGTAAATCTCAAAAAAGCTCACATAGACAGACAGGTCCAGGTTAGTATATCTCCTGTGGTTGAGGTAAGTAAAAACATCTTGGGCTGCAAAAAAAGAAAAAGAAAAGAAGTCTAATGTAATAAAACTGCAGAGACAAGTTTGATCAATATCAGGTATTACAGCCAACATTTGAGTAAATCTAAACAAATACATATAATGTGGAAGTCAAACAAACTTCTAATGATTAATTCCAATTTAGAAATCTCTGACTGTGAGCTAACCTGCTAAGGCGTAGACCCCTTTAGCACTGTTCTGCTGCTTTCCTGTGAAGTTACCTCCCATCGTCTGGAGGATAGAAAGAAGTCGGCAATTAAACTTGCAATATAAAAAATAATTTTCCACTTCAACCCAACCCTGAGCATGAAGCACAGACTTACATGGGTCTTACCGCTACCTGTCTGGCCATAAGCGAAGCAAGTTGCCATACCACCGTCAAAAATGGACTGAACCAAAGGTTTGGCGGTGAACCTGTATGGGAAATATCCAACATTGATAAATGTGCTTAAAAATAACAAGTGCTCCCTAAAAGTGTAGACTTAGTTTATAATCCAAACCACTTCCTGCTTAATAGAAAGCATAAATGAGCAATTACTTGTAGACCAGGTCATTGGTGGCACTTTCATCAAAAGAGTAGTCAAAGTGGAAGATCTGGTTCTCCAGGTATTTGGTGAGGTCCACCTTCTGTTTTGGCTCATGCACCAGTAAGGTACCTTTTCCAGGCACAGAAACCACATCTATCTCCTTCTTTGCAACCTCTGAAATACAAAAAAACAACACACAAATAACTAAATCAACTTTAGAAAGGACAGAGTTAGCTGTTCATGCATTCATTTGTTCCCTCTAAATGTCATACATATAATTTCTGGCCTACCTTGCTTGTTAAGGGGGCGCTTTCGAACGCAGACAGAAATCCTGTGAGGCTCAATCTGTAAGGATTAAAGAGGGGCAAATGAAGGACTGATCTCAGAATCCAGCATCATACAGAGAGCATGGCTGCTGTGTTCACACTCACCAGATCTCCCGTGGACAGCGGAGTTATTTCCAAAGTCTCTCTGAACTCTTGGATCATGTCATAGAACTTCTGGTTTGGTCGAGATGCCTCTCCAAACTAAAATGGAATGTTTATAAGTTTTCCAATGCTTTCAGCAGTTAAAGACTGAATAAGATAAAATCAAAATTACCACAAAAAAAATAAATTACCTTTCCTCTCTTGGTCTGCATGTCGAAGGGTTTTATTATAGAAGAGAGTCTTTTGTTGCCTTTGTTTAACTCCTGGGGGACCACAGATTTTTTTCTACCTGAAGTAGACAAAATCATGCAAGTTTCTTGTTTAATCAAATGTTCAACACAAAACATGTGAGACTAAAATGTCAGTCCCTTCCAATTTTTCTACTGCAATGCCTTAATGTCACAGATTTCTAATATATTTGCTTAATTTGTGACTGGTCAGTTTTGGTGAATGGTCACCAACCTTTGGCTGAAGGCAGAGGAGGCATCCTCTCAGGTTCGTTTTCCTTTACAGCCTCACGAACAAGTGAATGCTGCGAATTTGCGAGTCTGGTCTCGTTCTCCTTACGCTGATGATTTAAACTGGCTGCAGAAATAAAATGCACTGACTTAATAAAAAGGAGATCAACTATCAATGTGTGATGAGACTTGAATTAGTACATATTAGCACAATATGTACTAAAAAATAAAGGATGGAGCAATCAGTAAAAAAAAGTTGGTTCGTGCGACAAATAGTTTGTTTTATCTGTTAAAACCAATTGAAAGAAAGTTTTCATTTCTAAATTATATCACTACTAACTGGAGTTTGTGGGGACTGGAGAAGGATTGAGATTAGCACGGATTGTCTCTGGGTTTGCTGGGGAAGAGCCCATGGCCGATGCTGGTGCTGCGATGGGTGCTGGGACCTGGAACATACAAGTCTGACGCGCCTGAGACCGAGTGGAAACTAGAAGCAAGACAAAAATGAAAAACAGTGCAATATTATGATTTCAGCTTTAAAATGCACAGTTATAGATTAAAAGGAAGGTTGTTTTTTTTATCTAAATGGACATGTAATCCCAAATCAGGAAAAGGACAACAGTATCCTTGATACCATGTTACTATGGCAACAGATTTCCAGTCCTGTTATAAAAACACATTTCTTAGAGATCTTGACTGACACCGAAGGGTGACTGAAGTGACAAACATGCACGGAGAGGATTCAACAAAAAGGCTGAAAGTAAACTAAAGCAATCTAAATAAAACCAAGTGTTGCACCACTGTGCGAAATCAAAACAAAGCAGATGATTAATTGTGTGTGATCTGGTTGAAGCAGAGTTCAGCGCTTGCACGATTGTGATTCTTTGCACTTACACCGAGATCCCTTCAACAAAAGCAGTGATTAGAAAACACAACCCGTTTACTTGAGAGAGAGAACATGCATAAGTTGCAGACCTGACTCTTCAGCCTTGAGGACAACTGGGATGGAGGCTTTGGAACAGAATTAGCTATTAGGCGACCGCTACTGAGCTGAGCAGTCATAGCCAAACAATGTATATGAATAATTAATCAAATAAGAATATCCCCTTTGTTTACATACAGGAGGGAGGGGCAGGAATCCTTGATGAGCGGAGTCGACCATCATACTTCTAAAGAACAACAAAAAAAGAAGCAAAACATTCAATATATATTTTGGGTAGCAGTGTATAACAAGCATTTCCAACCTCACTCAGCTCATGAGGTTTTCATACATATATATGTGGAGTTATACTTACTTTGTTTTTAGCAGGAGCAGGAGGCTCAGCAGCTTTACTGGTAGCAGTGTTTATATGTTCCAGAAGCTCTGGATTGAGTGTACATAATTCACTCACTTCAACCTAAAACATACATGGAGGATAAATAAATAAATAAATAATAAAATAAATATACAAATGTTGGTGGGGATTTGGAGAGAATTCAGATTTCCATCTTTAACAAGCTTTTGTTTTGAAAAAGTTTGGTTAATGGATTTGAATGAACTACATTCAGCAAGATTTATTTAAGAATGTAAGAACTTTTCCATTAGTTAAAGACTTTGTAAATACAAGATAACGTAGATCCAAATCTTAAAGTAGACATTTATAGTTTATTTTTATCCAATTACCATGTTTCCAGAAAAACTAGGAGCTATGCAAACTATGTCTCCAACTACTACAGACAGTTGGGTGTCTATACTGAGAGAACTAAACTAATGCTAAAATCAATCCCTTTTTCACATTTTGATAACTCTGATTTAAATACAATTCGGGGTTGTGCAAGGAAAAAGATAAGGACCCCGTGACTGTCCAAGTACTAATGGAGCAAGGGTCGATATGCTGTCTAACGACTATAATAAGAAATACCAAGTTTCAAGTGACAACATTTACAAACCTCCTTCCCTCGACAGATGTTTCGTTCGTACCACTCCACCATAGCAGTGCTCTTGACGTTATCAACTGACTTCACCGTGGCAGAGTGCACTCGTCCTGGTTCGCACAAAAACAACCGAGTCAGTCCCAAGCTGATGACATGCGTTTATTACGGCGTAAGACAAATCAGAGCATTTCAAGAAATGCCACGAGAACTCACCATCACTGCGACTTATCTGAACAGAAAGTCCCATCAAAAGTCTGGACAGACTGCTCTCCATTTTAGCTTTTTTCTGGCGGCTGTAATCGAAACCTAAAAATCAAGTGCGTTAGCATGAAAGCTAACTGGACAACTGGTAACTTTGCTGCTTTCGCTACAAAATCGTGTGACTGTTTTGTTTTGAAATTCCGTAATACATAACATAAGGATATCGGAATAAGTTGATTTAGTTTGTTTATTTCACTTACTGAAGACAGAATTACCGACGTGCCGATTTCAACACCGCCCAAGATTTGAACTGGCGTTATTTCCGAGTTTCTAAGAATCTGATTGGATATCGTCATTACATATGGGCAGGCTTCTTCTTCTACGGTCTTTCTAAGACAGTTTCCACTTATGTCGCCACTCTGTGGATCTAATAGATATAACTTCTTCGATCAAATCCGATTACCCCCGTTATAATAGTAATAATAATAATAATAATATATATATATATATTAAAACGGGGTTATAATATATATGTCGACATATTATTATACAATTATAACAATATGTATATATTATATTATTACAATTATTATATTATAATTATTATATAATTATGTTAATTACTTTGATAAATAGTGTTAGTCATTGCGTTTCTGCTATTTATGTAATCCCTGAACGTGCATTCCACGGGGGAGGAACTTCTAAGCATTGGACAGAAATTATGAAATTCTTTAAAGAAAAACATGTGTTATGTGAAGATTTGTATCTAGCTTTATATAGTGTCACAAGCAGCACCTAAACTGTTGTTTAGTTCTGATTTAGTTTTTGTACAGAAATGTTCCTCTCACTATAAATTTCAGTTTAGTTATATTTGTGGTCAATCAAATCACAACAAATGTCATCTATTTTATGTGGTCCACACATTAAGGTTAATGTGTTCAGTCCTGAACAGGAATGTGCATAGTACATGTCCTGAAGTAATTATTGTTATCTGCTGTTAACATAATATAATATTATATCTACTATTAATAATATTCATATTGTATCATACATACATTATTATATACACTATTGATCAATGAGGCTGATGGTACAATTCAAGTAGCCCAGGACTTTGCAAGATAATGTTATTCAACCAACATTACTGTGTCTAGAAATTTATGAGAATCAAATAGCAAAAGTTATTCAAGTTTTTCTCTTCATGTGGACCCTGCTACCATTAGAAATTTTACACTGGTACTTGTTGTTCTCTGATCGGAACATAATTGTGCTATAATTCTGTTAAATGTTGATCCATTTGACCTTCTGCATTTCATCCATGTGACCACAGGAATCCTGTTTGTCCACATACACTCTCTTCCCACACCCAGTGCAAACCAGTCCCCCATGACATCAACATTCAGGGACAGCTGGAGAATGACCCACAATGCAGTTCAGCCTTGCCTTCAGCGTGGGAGGCTTCCTATTTTTCCTCTTCTTTTTTTTCCATTTTGCCCCCTAGACTCTCTCCGACTCACCCTCTCAGCTTCCAAACCTCCTAACTATACACAAGCTGGGCTTGTGTATACACATTCTCCACAAGCGAACACTGACACATGACAAATCAAAGGTCTAATAAACAGCTTGCATGGAGTAATTTTCCCCCCACCGCCAAGGGATGAAAAATAAACAAATCCCTGTCGGTGGACTGTCCAAGCCATTTGGTAGGTCTGTCTGCCGAAGACTGGGTGGCCCAGGGCTGCTTGGTGTGAGGCCTGGGACGGAGCCACAACTGTTTCCTGTGGGCAGCCCAACCCCCAGAACCTCTCCACAACTGGCTTAGTGGGTGGTATTCTCCTCCTCCTTCTTTCCCTCTAACCCCCTAACTCCCACACCCTCCTCTCCCCTTCATGCTCTCTTCTCCAAGCACCTCCCTCTTTCCCCCCCTCAGTCAGTTTGTTTGTCAATTTTCACGGCACAAGCTCAACACTTTCCAAATAGCCTTGTGTGGATTGATTAAGCTAATTTTGAACTTTCATTTGATGGATTTAGTTTAGACAGTCCATGGACACTAGTGGCACATGCACACTTTAGTTCCTATTCCCCATTATTTACTTGAAAATGTTAATTAGGGCAAAGGACAGCATCTCTTTTTTCCGCTTGTTTCGAAGTATAGTATGTCTTCTGATAAAACACTTTGAAACTTCTTGGCTTCATGTCAATCATCTAAGTGCTTCCATGTGTATTATTGTCTCAGAGCTTTTAAGAGCTCTGGTGGTCTCTGTCTTCACAAGGTCGGGTCATGGAGACACAAGCATTGTTTTTGTTTCGATCCCATGAACTAACATTTGTGCAAACTGCCTCTTTACATTTTTCTTTCACATAATATATGTATATATATATATATATATATATATATTCTGAAATACTTATTCAAAATAAATGGGGGGTCACGGGGGGGACTGGAGCCTATCCCAGTAGTCAGTGGGTGAGAGGCAGGGTACACTCTGGACGGTCCGGCAGTCCATCGCAGGGCCACACAGAGACACACAAAGAACATGCAAACTCCACATAGAGGGCCTGGTTGCCACGGGGACGTGAACCCAGAACCCTCTTGGCGATGGTGCTAACCACCACCATACCGCCCACATATATGTATATGTACACATTCCAGTTTCATATTGTATATATATATATATATATACACACATATATATATGTATATGTATATATTCCAGTTTTATATTTTGGATAAAATCACATATTTTGCAGTGCCTCTAGGGTGGGCCATCCCTCACAAAGACACTGTAATCATTTGTTTGTTTTCACTGATGAGGCTCAGTATTTTTCCAAAAGATACTTCAAAAGTTCTTTTGACGGTCAACCTTTTAGTGTAATATTATGACAGGATTTGGATTATGGGTATAAAAGTAACAGTTTCTGGAGTTGCTGATTTCTCAGGTGGTTGATTTGAGGAAGAAGGGGTCATGTATCTGCTGGTCCTGAGTCTATGAAACTTCTCCCATTTTTCCATCTGTCTTAAAGCATATTTTCTCACTGTAGAGAAAATTGGCTGAGGCCATGGCTCTGTTCCCCTATACAGACTAAATAAACACACATGCATATTGTACGTGAGCTGAGCACACTCACAAACCACCCAGTGAGGTTGACAGATGGGGAGCATTGAGGGGAAGAAAAAGGACATAAAAAAGGAATACACCAAACACAGAATATGGAGTCCATACTTTTAATCTCTTGAACAATTTCTTCATTCTCAGATTTTCCTTATAAGAGGAAATTATATTTCTTAGTTAGAGCAAAACCTTGTGGCTCAACTGCAAAATATGCTTGCTGATATTGACACTTCCACAGTTGTGAGTTCATCTAATCTTAAAAAAGGTATTATCCTTTATTATAATTTAATTTCTATTAAGTATACTTTCTACTTTAAGGTTAATCAATGTTTAAACAAAAAACCTCATACTGTATCTCTGTAATATTAAGCTACTTCAGCCTTGCAAACGTTTAGAGCCTGTTGTGAATTGTTCAACATGACCAGCAGAGTGCAATATAGCTGTAAAAAAAACAATTGCTGCTACCAGCAGGAGCTAGTAGCATCATTTGCAACCTGTTTTGATTAAATGTGCCTTAATTTTAGTGGATATTTATATGTTCAGCTGAGCAGGTACTAAGACATCCATTAAAGCATTTCAGTATTCATGGGTTCCACTGAAACATGCCAGCCATTTTGGCTTTCGGCTCTTAATATTAAAGAGGCAGGCACACAAACCTACAACTTTCCCACTTCACATATTGGAATTTTGGGCCTATCAAAATCACATTTAATCACTCTATGCACTTTATCACAAACCATTTATTCCAAATCTTTCTAAAATCCTTTTCAGTATGGAGGTATTAGCTAGCTAGATGCTAGGGGGGAAACATTGTGAAGCGAGTGTTTGATATTGGCCATAAACATTTAGATGCAGTGGGCAATTACATGCAAATATAGATGCTTAAAGTACGTACTAGAGTTTTTTTAGCTCTAGTACTGGAATATAGTTAGCCTCAAGACTTTGCACCTGGAGATTTACACATGTTTAGGCTCGGAGGGCTGCTTATGGTTAATTTGTTTTTCCATTTGGTTGGCAACAAGTCCAAAGGGCAGTTCTGTCACTCACAATTTCCCTCTCAGTCTTTGTCAATATACACTTTAAACTACTTGGAAAAGTATGAAAAGAATGCTCAGTAAGGTTTTCAATTGAAAACACAATACAACAATGAACTCTGAAACATTAGGTACAAAATGAAATGCAGTATAACAAGGTTTAAGCAGGGACTGTGAAATTAGCCCATAAATTCTATTCTTGAATTCAATCGGTTGCTTTATATGAACCGTAAAGATTGAAATACAGCAGGCCTGCACACGACCTCTTTATGGGGAACACCAATCGAAACCACAAACCGTGAATCAAGCAGAAATGTGTCAGTGTGCTTTGATATTAATCCTCAAAACCCACCAGTGTTTCTTTTCCTCTTTTTTACAGAGCTCAACAGAGAAGTCAGATGTTTGCTTGCACAAAGCTGGGTACTACATGTGGACCCCAGAATTTTTAAAGAAAAACTTACACCTACAGTACACACAGAGTTTTACAGCACTAACCGAAACCACAGCAGTTGGTTGGTCCGCTAAAAGTTTCTGTAATATCAGTTGAACATTTGTGTTCCACTTAATCAGAGAAATCTCACAGGCACTGTAATATATTAAATCATTATATGTGATATGGAAACTGTAATATACTTTAACTCTCATAAAATGTCCTTTAGCTTTCTTCAATATGATGCTTTGAAAGAAAATTGGCACAATTAGAGGAAAAAATCATCTTGAAAAGAAACCATGTTGTTACAGGATGAAGTAATATCTGCACTGGTAGACTGAATTAAAGAAAGATGTGATGCTGGGTAAAGTAAAAAGATTAGGCTGTGATTCAATTAATACTTTTCCATTCTTCTTCCCAAATTGAACAAAAACACATGCACATAGTTATGGAACTGATTTGAGGGTCAGATCCAAGACAAAGGTTTGGATTTTTTTTCCAATTGAAGCCTGGTT